GGTTGGTTTGTTTTACCCTGAGAAATCCTGCCTCCTCACCAGCAGGAAGAAAAGCACCCAGGTAGGATCAAGCCCCACATCCCTGGAGGCAATCACATGCAGGAGAGCAGGTCATATCAACACAACAGCTTCTAAATGGTGTCCAAATAAAGGGTCAAGGAGAACATCTCTGTACCAGTAATGGGCTGGCTATGAGCTGGAAACATTCCTACACTTATGTTGCTATAGGTGTGCTGTTTGTTTAGAACAAATGCCCTTTTTCTTTATCAAAAATAGCTGTTTTGTCTTTTTAAAATCATCCCCAGAATAGTTCATGAAAATTCAGGAACCTGCCATCACAAGGCCACAATCCCTATATGATATTAAGAAGTTTGTGATGTAATGAAAATTTAGGTTCTTCCGCTGAAAGCTCAGCCACAACTTTTGGACTCTATTTTTAATTTTTAATACCCATCAATAGCTTATGGGGAATTAAATCAGACAGAATCAGACCTCCAGTCTGAGTCTTCACGTTTAAACTTATGCCAAGATCCCTTCCCACAGCTATACAGCATATTGGCAAGTGAAGATATACCTGAGTGTATTCACAGCTATTTAATGCTCCTTTGCATCAGTTAAAAATGAGTTCCCTCCTTTTGGCATCACAGTTTGAAACTGCCTGTTTGATATTCTGATGGATTAATTTTTCCTGGCTGTGAGAAGCACGCACAGCAACCTTGAAGGCTTCGTGCAGTGAATCAAACCAGCAGAGACTCATCACAGCCTCACTTCGAGGAGATCTCTCCTCTAACAGGAAGAGACAGAGCACATAGCAACAGCAGCTTTTCATGTTTCAGGCTTCAGGTTTGCTTTTTGTCAAGAGCTTTGGGGAACATTGGCGATACCATACAGCTAACAAGGTAACTTGAAAGGGAACAAAGCATCTTTCATTAAAAACAGCTCTTGGTTAGAAAGGAAATAAAACATTTCCTGTATGTTCAACTGCAACCAAGGTGCCAAGATGCAGCGGTAGATAATGGAACAATCTGAAAGAATACATTGTTGCTGTATCCTGGAGATACTTGCCTCCCTTTATCACTGCAGGGAACGTCAAAGACAGGAGGGAACAGGGGCAGGAGGAAATCAGAATGTGATGTGAGCCAGAGCAGGAAACGTCATCCAGCATTTCTAAGACCACCCAATATCAAGATACTGGTGGAGAAAGAATTCATAATGTTCAGAAGGGACATTGCCAGGCCAGTAAAAATCCCATTCATTGTGGCAAAACCCACCATGTCCCACTTTGCAAGGGCAGCCTAAAGGCATTTGATGTTTCAGAGGGTAAATGTGAAAGTGGGCAGTGAAGTCCCAGGCTCCTACAGGACTCACTGCAGATCCCCAGCACTTTGCCACGTTTCCAAGGAAGAAGATTCCCTGGCCACAAGAATACTGAGTTGTTTGGGGGTTTTGGTTTTGTTTGACTTTTTTCATTTTTGTTTTGTTGGTTTTTTGTTTGTTTTTTGGTTTTGGGTTTTTGTTTTGTTTTAATAATTGGATACAACAAACAGGAAAACGTGACACAGCAAAGAGATCATTTCATTGGGCTAAGTGCAGGGTGCAGCCTTGAAAAACAACTGAATTATTAAGAGATTCAGATCCTTTGGAGTTTTCTTTTTTCACATACAAAGCGTTTTGTGCCCTACCCTTCATAATTTTGCCTAATCACTTCACAGCCAGATGTCAGTGGTTTAAAGGTTTAGAATGAAGGAGAGAGTCAATCTGTTTCTTAACAGTTTTAGCACTCAGTTTCATCAATTGCTTATAAGCAAAGTTAACTCCACGGTGCCACAGTGTCCTAACTCTCATTTTGAGTTGAAGTCTGAATACTCATCTCAAGGGAAGGGAACAGAAACAGAGTGGATTCTAGCTGACAAGAAGTTGGTATCAGAATCCCAATTCTTTAAATAGCACTAGTTTACTGTAGACAAACACAGCCAGACATAAAACAGCGATGCACTTACTTAAAACCAACATAGGACTCATAGGAGTACTTTTTTCCTCTTTGCATTCCAGCTAATTTTTCGAGACTGCCCAACGCAAATCTGCCCCAACCTACATGAACACACATTTCCACAATTCCTAACAGCAACTGCAAATTCACCACAATCCTCTCTGCACTCTGCCTCAGAAGCACAGGGAAAGGGAGAGATCTGGCACTGCTGAGGGAGTACAGTGGGCAGAGCCACCCTGTGAGACACAACGTGGCACTTCTGGGCAGGTCTGGACAGTCTGTGCTTAAAGCAGCCCCTGCTCACACCTACTGCTCAATATTTCAGCAGAAGCAAGTTCTGCTCTGCCAATTAACTTTTTTTTTCCGTGCACTAAACCTCCCTTTACCTCCAAATCCAGGAGGAAACACTCCAGTGAGTGAGAACATGGAAAGTCTCACTTTAAGTGGGACTGGCACATGAATGGTGTTCTCTTTCAGGAGGATGCCACTGCCTCAGTTAAATCTCCTGAAACTCCTGAGCAGATCACAGGACTGCAGACAGACAGGTCTGCAGTGCAAATCCCCAGAACTTGTGCTGAAATGGCTGCAAAATCACACTATGTGACAACAACCTTTAGCTACATTTCAACTGGAAGGTCGTGGGACAGTGACACACCAAGCACATACTTTAAACCACTTGATAAAAAGCAGTATATCCAGAAAATTTTGATCACTTTGAGGGGTTTTGCAAAAATTGGCAAACAATTGTCCCTCCCACTAATAGTCATATGTTTGTGTAAGCTATAAAATTGTACAATAAGGAGGGAAGTTAGACAGGAGGAGAGTCAGAACTTGTTTGTTGGTCATAGTAGAGATTCCCTCAAATTCACACTGCTCTGTACTGGTGTAAGTTGTCAGCATCCCCAGAGCCCCCTCCAGTTCTGTCCTTGGAACATGTTTGTTGGGAAGTTCTAGTGTCCAAAGCAGCAGAGGTGTGTGCATCTCCCATCACCATCACACTACAGAGCAATCTTTTAAAAATAACCACAACCATTTCATATAGAATAAGGAAAATATGCTGTTCTTCAACATTAAGCATCTAAAAGCTTAAGAATTAACAGTGACATTTGCACAGACTGGGAAAAATTTTCTCATTTCAAACAAAAATTTTGAATTTAGTCTTCATTTTTTTCCTCACAGAAATGTATAAAAAAAAAAAGGCTTTTATTTTGGCAAGGAAAAGAAACATGAATTAAAACTGAATATGCTTTTCCTGATTTTACATTTTAGTTTCTTTTCTTGCATAATTTGTATGGTGAACAAAAATATATTAAAAAAAATCAGGATATAATTGTTAAGCACAGAAAGAGAGAAACAGATCACAGGACAACATGTGGGATATGATAGCTTTGGGGCACAAAGCCTTTTTCAAAAATCAGGTTTAACTGGTTATAACATTGTTCTCAGGTAATTGGTCTAAAACCTAATGTTAGAAAAGTTTAGGTTGTAGAGTTTTCAGCACAAATTATGATGAGGAAAGGACTGAAAAATGTTACCATGGATCACTGAGGATGCCTCTTAAAGAATCACATACAAAATAAAAATTTCTCCTTTCTTCAAGTCACACACCGGTGTTGTGTATAATTAAAAACCAGTCACCGGCTCGTTTTGCAGTAAGAAAGATACAGATATAGAGAAATTATAGGTTTAGGAACAGAATTTTATTTGATTCTAGAAAGCATCATGCATTAAATTTTTTTCTTAATGATCCTTGCACCCAGCTTTGAGATGAAAGAATGGCATTTACAAAGTAAAAGGACGCAAAAGTAAGGTTAGCACCATAGAAGTAACTCTTCTCTTTACAACTCCATTTGATAGTGATAAACGAGAACAGAGAAAAAGAAAAAAGAAATCTAGATGGCTAGGTGGCCTTGCATTTTTATTTTCAACATCCAAGATACTTAACATCAACATACCATGGCTCTCCTAGTAATATCTAGTAATTCACGTTCAGCAAAACTTGCTCTGTACACTGAGAAAGTATTCAAGAGTCAAAAGATAATTGTCACAAAGTACCAGCTAATGTGCAAGGTAGAAATTGTAGAAGTACAGAAAAAGAAAGGAAACAAGAGAAACCAAGGTCAGGAGTTTGTCCCTCTTCCAGGCTTTTGCAGGTATGACTCTTATGACTTGCTGCAAAGGTCAAAAAAATAGGAGGGATGTGTCCTGGAACTGGCTGGGATGGGACAAATATCCTAATATTAGCCTGTGATACCCTAGTTTCATGGGCCAAATATCCAGATGTTCTTAATCCAAACTCTCCAATTTCTTACCTGCAAGCAACTACAGAATTATATCAGATTTCAAATGTTTGCTTTCCTTATTTTTTTATTAATTTTCAAAATTTTCCCTGTGTGGTTCTTACTGTAAGGTTTCCAAGAGAGTGAACAGTTTTATGAACTCTCCAATCTTCCCCAAGCAGAAATTCTAATACAAGATTTAGGAGTTTTAAATGCCACACTGTCATTGTTATGTGCTGTCTTCTTAAGGCAATGGAATAATTTCTTTCAAGTACCATAATTTTGCATCACAAATTGATTCTAAAATTTCCTGTGCAAGCATCTATAATTACAATACATGTAAAATTATTTAAATTTTATTAAACTATTAACCTGACTCACTTATTAGAAGAAGGGTTTGAACTGCAATTATGAGGAAGAGGCAGCTTTTTGTCAGTTTGGGAAATACATCTTTTGATTACTCCCACCTTTCAAGGTCCCGTGTATGGACTTTTAACAGTAACATAGAAGCAGCCTGTTAAAACAACTGCTTTGTATCCAAATCACAGAAAAACCATTTAATCCCGAAGCAGAGTGTGGTGTAACCCAAACCAGTTGTATTTTTCAGACTAATAACCATTAGCTCTTGAACACCTATTGTAGTAAACACTGCTTTAACGTTGAGCTACCCAGGGCAGCCTTCACAGCCGCGAACGCTACATCACCACCGGGAGAGGAAGCAGACTCTCAACTTTTCTTTCTCTTTCTTTTATTTATGCTTGGACTTCCAGCACTGCACATCAGATAGCCAGGGTCTTAATCTGTCCTATATCAGACTGTAAAAATACAACGCGCTTTCTCCGCTGTCCTCGCATCGACAAATCACAGTCACATCCCACAAACCCTTCACGTGAGCAGTTCCTTCCCTCTGGAAAAGCATCTCTCCTCTCAAGGATTTCAGCTAATGCTTCTGGCTTATAAAAGATTAAGTGCAATCAGTTACACTGAAGGTTTATAATGCGGCCCTTGATTGTATTTTCTGTGCACGCATTTACATCAGGCACACGAGTTATATAAAATAGTTTGGAGTACAAAAATATGGTTATAACATAGGAGTACCAAACAGCACAGAATTAGAACAGTTTTATTACCGTAATACCAATTTATATACAGACCCCAAATTAAGGATTTTTTTTTTTATTTTTTTAATTCTAAGTATTCTTCCCAAATTGACAACTGTAGTGTACACTCTAAAAATTGCAAATTAACAACACAGTTCTATTTTAACCCCTACATTGTCTATGCAGTCTGCACCAATCCTCTCTCTTCCACACAAAAGTGTATTATAAATAATCTCACAAAATGTCACGTATGTTTTATTGCACATTGTACATGCCAATATTTAAAAGAAAGGCTCAAGCCTTTCACTTGATAACTACCTGTTTAAATAACTAGCATTTACTTGTGTTATGAATATTATTGCATTTTTCAGGCTCTAATCTTAACTCATAATTTAAAAGCAGAACAGAAAATATGCCTTGAACTTTATAGCTTCCATGAAAAAAAGAAAAAGCTTCTTTAATTCCTCTGATCTCTACTTTATAAAGTCATTAACAACATATGACCTAATTAACAACGCTGTTTCGAAATTTCTGCATGTTTTACTATAAAATTATGCATGTAGCTGCTTGTGCAATCATCTATTCCTTCTATTTTGTAGAATTAGATGTCTCTGTGCTGTACTGACGGGAAGGTTGAGTTACATAGGTCCTAGTGTGAGCTGCAGGAGTTGTTTTATCAGGCTCTGCTCTGCACAGGGGCAGGACAGGAGGAGCCTGTCAGACACCTTGGACAGCTTGGGATAAAAGGACACCGGGCACAAATGGCCACCCAGCATCAAGGCCGTGTATAATTCCTGTTAAGCAGATCTCTAGACTAAGGAATACGAGTAAGTTATCATTAATATGTGGGTTTATGATATGCTGCACTAAAATATGGCTGCTAAACAAAGAGGATGATTGGTTGTATGACAGATATGTGCCAGCTGGTAAAAATGCCTCACTGGATAAAAATCTGAAGTTTTGAAGGTTAAAACTCTGGCATGAACGAAAAGATGTCAAAGTCAATCGATCAAATGTTTTGCCAAGGGTTTCTAAAGCTATTAGCCATCAACAGCTCCAGAAAGGGATAAAAATAGCAAAACCAAACCACTAAAATTGCACAATTACAAAGAAACAAGTCCATGAAAGGGAGAGTCACCAGCTGCAGTTAAGGGACGGCCACTTCGAGAAGCCGATTGTTTTTTCGCTTGCAAGTTGGGATGTTGCCGTTTTTCTGGCTGCCTTGTATGAACTTCACACACACTTTGTCTTGTTTGAACTGGACCAGGAACCTAAGAGAGAGAACAGTGAAAATTTTAGTTAAGTGTGGAGAGGGGAAAAAAAGAAAAAAAGAAAAAAAAAAAAAAAAAGAGACACATGAGAAGCAGAAGTCTTTTCCTGTTGGTTCTATGCATCACTCCAAAAGATGTCATTTTCAGCTCTCTTAATAAAAAAGAGTTGGGGAATAAATAAAAAAAGCCATAGGTTATGGTATGACTAGAATATCCTTCAGGTTGTATCTCTTAATTATTGCTTTTTGCCTATAACTGTGGACATTTTACGAGTTAGCTTGCTATCCCTTTAGGATAAAAAGCAGTTTGAAACAGAATTTGTCATGTACCAGAAATGCAGCAAAGACTATTTCCAACTACTTCACTGTCAGCTGAAAGGACTTTTCTGATTTCTTGGGAGCTCAATTCTTCTGTAGCAACATCGGGAGTTCTCTTCTTCTGATTTATGCTTAATTTAGTACATCTGGTATTTTAGCAGCTCTCATATGTCTAATCCTTAGTTAGCCTTTATAGCCCCCTGCTCGTCAACTGGGAAAATTCACTTCCTGCCCAGCAATCTCCAAATTTAGACATTTTCTACAGTTCAGGGTAAATGAATCTGGATTTGACTCTTTGCTTTTTACTGGAAGGGAAATTTCACTGTGGAGAATTGCTTTTAAAAAAAACAAACACCACAAGAAACCAACATGCTCCTGTGGAGCTTCAAACCTCTCACGGATCTGGATAGCGAGATTAAAAGCAAAAAGCAAGGCAGTGCTGCCTCTTGGCTCACATGCAGTGGCTGCTGACCTAAAAAGTCCTTTGTAATACAGCCGATTTTCCCTTTTAGCATCCTTAAAAAGTCCTCCAGCTGAGGCCAAAAACTTCAAAGAATTTGCTCTGCAGCCGGAAACCACAAATCAAGCTGACGGCAGAGCTCAGGGGAGGAAGTGGCCTCTGCTGCGCCGAGCTGCCCTTCGGTCCTGCTTTCCTGCTGCACAGCCCAGGCTCTCAGAGCTTGCTCAGCACTCCCAGCCATGCAGGCACCCCAAAAATGTGTGCAGCTCTTACAGCCATTGTCTCAGGAACGCTGCATTTTCCTACAGCCACTGTTCCAGTATTATGCGTGTGAACAGTGTGTCTCTTCCTAAATACAGCCCTTGAATGTGCCAACAGCATTCTTGTATCAGCTCTCTTCCCAAGAAGAAGAGCAGCCAAAAATAAGGCCACAGTTTCTCCTCAATCCCCAGTTGTGCTTGTGTCAAAACCCTAGCAGGGAGAAGACTCCTGCTGCTTCACCATCAACAGAGATGGGACTGCAAACAGCTTAAAATTATTTAGTCTGGATAAACTCAATAGCAATACACACATGAATGTTTTTAATCTGCAAGAGAAGAAACAAAAACCACATCCCAAAAAGCAAGACTCCCTTTTCTGAAAACAGAAAGCAGGCTGTTTTTCCAGACCTAAGGCAAGCAGGCAGTCCAGACTAGTGCAATGCATGCTTTAAGTTTGCTTTAGTAGTTTATTCCTTTGTAGCCCCCCCTGCCCCCTTAAACTAGAAACTTACTGGGGATAGCCACACTCTTTTAGAGACTAAAGAACACACACTCTTGAGCAAATTAAATGACATCTGGTAACAGAACAAAGGAATATGGCAGATTTTATTTTCAAGGGAAGAGCAAAATTAGCCTTTTAATAAATCCTCAAATCTGAACAGCTACAAACTGTACTACCATGACTCTAGAACACATGCAGTATGGTACAGCCAGATTAAAAGGTTCAATTTTTTGCCTACAGGAAATTTACTTCACCATTGTTAAAGAGTTCCAAATTTTCTTCTTTATTCAAAGTGCATACACCCATCAAATCAACATTACTGAAAAGAGGGGCCACTTCACAGAACAAAAGTGGCACATGACAAAGGTGGACTAAGTGGGAGACTCTTGCCCAGCAAACTTTAGTTCTCACACACACACATACAAACACCTTTATTCCATAGCTAAAAACACCACAAGGGCAGTCCTTATTTAAGGCCAAAATATGAAACTGTACCAAGCAGAAAGAAATACTATTTTGAGATGCAAACTTTTTATCAAAGAAAGCTTTTTAACAACCAAAACCCCCCAAACAACAATAGGTTGTTACACCTTCCAAAAGAGAAGATACAGCTTCATAAAGCTACATTGGATTAGGGAGGGGTTTTGTATTCTTATTTTGGGTTGTTTTAAGAAGAACTTGGCACCTAGTGTCCACTCCAATCTATAAATATCTCATAGCAATCTGTGAACTTTTCAGTCACATGCAAAATTGTTCTCTCAAATGTAGTAGCTCTTGATTATTTCTACAGCAGCAATTCCGCTTCACAGCCCTTTTTTAAACTACTTTAATAAAAGCATATGTTCTGTAATGATTTTCAGGGACATAAAAGCCAAAATTAATGTTTTAAATGAGTACACACTGAAAACTGGATCCTTCTTTGCAAGTATTCTGTCAAGAGAAAAGAAGCATTAGCTACACAACAGTGTTTTGTTATTCTGACACTAGATACTTGACTTTTTAGCATGCTGCATTGGAGCAAATGTACTCTTAAGCAAATAAGAAACATACTCATCAGATATCTCAATGTTGAGCTTCTGTTTGGTTTGGCTGAGAGTAGTGCGGTAAAGTTTAGTGGCCATTTCAATAAGGTGATCGCTGCTGAGCAGGAAATCTCCTTTACTGGCGGCTTCTGAACCCTGAAACAGGAAGGAAAGCACTTAGGACTACCAAAACCTTGAGTATGATTAAATGGCAGCCAAGCAGGAGGGTTTACAAGGAGTCTTCTCTTCCCAGTTTAAGGAAACAACAATCTTTTGTCTTGTAAATTAAAAAGGGATTCCAGTGCAGAGTATAGGATAAAAATAGCATTTGCACCCAAATAATCTACAAATCAGGTGAAAAAGGTAAAAGAAAATCCCTTCTGGCCTTAAAGGAGGGTCATCTTCATTTTCCCACAAATCTGTACAGACAAAACCCTTGTCTGGATACACCACAGCAAGCTTCCAACACTTGCGTAAGGGAACGAAAGCCAATTACCAACACCAGGATTAGGATGATGGCAGTGAGTATGAAATGACACTGTATATAACAGTCTTCAAATTCATTTAGGCTAGAATACAGCTTAATGATTTTAGCAGAGCAATGGTTACAGTGCGCTGAGGCTAATGTAGCACTAAGTTCTTTAGAACTGAGTGACAAATTAACTGTGTCTCAACATGGACTTCTTGGCATCCCATAAAGGAGAGAGAAATATTCTACCAGTATATGTAAGGAAAACACTGGCACAAGATACCTGATCCATATTACAAGTGGAAAACTGATCCTGAAGAGAATGCAGTGAAACATGAAGTCTGATTTTCACAGTTAAATGATCATTCATAATACAATAAATGGTTCTCATTTGGCTTCAGTAGCTTTAAATCAAAGTTTTTTTCAGCTATGGCAAAGTTCAATAAATTTCCAAGCCTACAAGCTAACCCATATGGGTTAATGCTACGAGATAATTAACAAATAGGTTTTACATCACTGCACATAAAACAGTCATATTATTGTGTGATGGAGTGGTAACCAACCTCCTTGAGGTGCACTGCAAAGAATCCATCATTTTGGGAGCTCATGGACACTTTGGTAACATCTCCCAGTGGGACCTCTGACTTGATAGTCCCAGACTTTTGATCCGCAAGAAGAACATTATTTTTGGTTAATAAGAAAATCCTGGATGCAGCCTGTGAAAATGCAAAAATGCAGATCATTGCCTACATGAGGAGAGAGCTGGTTTCCATCGAGCACCTACTGAACTCCAGGGAGTTCACAGAGTTAAAAAGCTTGGCCCACATTAGCAAATTTGATGTTCAGTAAGTAAAAGCTGCAGCTCAGTTAAAATCAGGTCAAATTTATTTATGTGTCTAATTATAGACTGAGAAGCTTAGCTCATTTTGCCACATATGCTTAGGTATAAACAGCTCCTTTAATTACTGGCTTACAGCTGTAAAATTCAGAAAGTGAAACTCTGAAACTATGCAAATCAGGATAACCTCATTTCTCATGCTCTTTAAATCTGCAGGAAAATCACCACACACTTAAGTTTCTATATAGATCATTATTCACCAAAACTATGATGCAGAGCAACACAAATCACATAAGTAGTTTTCAGAATTATGTTCTCCTCCCTTTATCTATTGGAATTACCCTTTAGGAGGATAAGCACTCATATTTTCAAAAGACAAATATTTTTAAAGCATGAAATGGGTGTTCTTAAATTTGTCTTCAAAAATAGTAAGAAAGAGAAATGACAACTTAATCCACGTACAGATTTTTTTTTTTTCTGTAAACTTTTAAGGAGTAAAATCTTTATTAGAATTCAGAAGTAGCTGCCTTAAGCACATGGAACCATAGTTCATTAATTTTTTTTATTTTTATTTTTTTTAATCTTGAGAGCTGTAGTCTATGCAAGTACAGGAAAGATATTGTCTTCATTTAATTAGTTTCTTCTAAACCAGAAAATTAACTTAGCATCAACAACGGGCAACCTAATTTCACTCCTACAAATGCATAAATGACATCTACATCTGAGAAGTTGAGATCTACTACTCCTAATATTTAGACAGATATGGTGAAAGCAATTAAATTTACTAATGCAGAATAATACTTCCTGTTTTAATAAGTATAATTTAAATGCAAAATGTGTTCTATGTTGGCAGAATAAAGAGGTACCCGCCATATTTAACGACTTTATTCAAATGATACAAGAAACTTGCCTCTTCATTCCAAAGAGCTTTGGAAGACAGGCAAACCTAGCAAGTATGCCACTCATAATTTTAAAAGATAACATAATGTAATAATCAGAAGCTTGACTGACAGTGTGAACTTTGAGAAGTTTTCTAAATACTTGAATAAAATATTCTCTAAATGTCTGTTTTCTTTAATTGGCAAATAGAAGATCTTAGCTGAGTACAGAGACTACATTTAGTTGTGACACAGTACAGCCTGTTACCAGTTGATGACATACCTTTTTTGTTTGGAAAAGTCACTGGAAACTACAAAACAAGATTTTAGTAATCTTTATGCAAATTTAAAAGAGATGTTTAAAATCACCAAGTTATATAAAACCAACATTCCAGTCTTGCCCCTAAAAATATGCATTATTTTAAAAGTCTTCAGACTATTATGAGCCCCACTTTCAATGTATTTATAACAAAAATGATCTACCCTTCTGGATAAATCAAATCCATGTGATTACCTTCCCATTGGCTCTATTGATCTTATTCACAACTTCTGCAATAATGATCTTTTCATCCACGGCATCTTTGAGTTTTTTGTACTTGGGGTTCTCACTGATCTCCAAGTAAGCCCCTTGGAATGGCTGCCCAACACTGCCCGAAGGAAAGGCAAAGGAAACACCAGTTAAACATGAACCTCAGGGAAGAAGCCAACCTGACACCATCACAGGCTTCATGAGAAGATGCACCAAATATCATTTTTAGTGATGGTGAATGAAGATGAAGTTATCACCAAAGACAGAATAGGACGGGGTTTTTCCTTGCTCTGGAAGCATTTTCCAGTTAAAAGGGCCAAATTGCTTTGGATATCAGACACATGAACATCCTTGCACATGCAGTCAGCTGTGATTTGAAATCACCCAGTAAGAGTCTCTGTGAAAACAGAAAATAAGACCTAAGCAGGACTGACATGCTAGGCATGACACCTCATGACAGACATGAACTTGCCTTCAAGATCTGCTGTTGTTTGTGAAATATGTAGCAGCTCCTTGTCAAGATCTGCTGCACTTGCAAATTCCCCCATCTTTACACACCTCAGGGTGTTAAAATAAGGGCTTCACTGCAGGCCAAGAACTGATGAACAGTCTCTGCTTGCTTTTTTGGAAGTCACTTTAAAAATGATTTAACTATAGTCAAAGCATTAATGCAAAGCTTTGCCAAGACTGGAGCCCAAGAGAAACCAACACATTATGTGGAACAGCACTGCCTTTGCAATTGCATCTCTGGCACACAGAGAGATGGGAAAGAAGAGGAAGGGTACTGGGATTTTAGTAACCACAAGTCCCTCTCTCTCCTTAAATAATTATACTACAGACAGAAAATTAGCCACATCCTATGAACCATTATCATACTAATTAATCAGAAACTTTATACAGTAATTTTCTCTACCCTTAGGCCGATTAAAAAAAAACCCCAACAAACAGAGCTAATCAGCTCTGAATACCAGACAAAAAGAGATGGAAATGTCTGTAAATGAATGCAGGGGAGGGAAAGCATTCCAACTTTCCACCATATTGAAGCTTTGGGGTTTTTATTAATTAGTATTATGAAACAATGGTCATCAAAACCCTGTGGATTTCATCCCTGATCAAACAATACCAAGTTATACCTAAAACTGAAATGAATCAACAGTTCCTCTGTCACGTGTACCACTTTAAGAATGTCTTGGATAAAAATGACTCGTATGTATATATGTGTATATATTTTGCTGTATGTTATTTCATTGTTCAGCCTTGGTGTAAAAAGTCCCAAACCAGGGATATAAGCAGAATTCCTTCCTTTCCAAGGAGCTCTATGCTGAGCAGAAGCATACTGACTAAAACCTAAAAAAACCTGCTTGCTCATAGGAAAGTCCAAAGGCACCATCATTTTTTTTTCCCCCAGCAGCATAAAAAGACATCCCAAAGCAAATAAGGAACAAACCACAAGCCAGCATATATAGCCATTAAGTAAGTGATCTAGTGAAGGGAAAAAAAGAGAAATGTATACTGAGACCATTACAGGAAATGTCTCAATAAAAAAAATGACACGAAACAAAACCAAGGAAACACACAAACAACAGGCAGAGCTTTTCCATGCATGGAACTGTTCCCACAAATTCTTGCAGATTCCTGTTCTTCCCTCTGCTGAACCTTGCTTCTCATTCTATTTGTTCCTGCTCAGCTCAAACTACAGCTTCTAAGAGAAAACTCTCTCGAGATGGACGAGATGGTTGTTTTCAAGAAAAAACACAATTTATAAGCTCACATTCACAAAAAAAATGTAAGCCAATTTACTTCAAGTACATCCTATCTCTCTTTTGTCAGTTTTATTGAATACCAGAAGAAGTGTATTCCTTAAATAAAATTAGATACTACCGCACTTTCTTGAATAATGCTGGCTCTATAGATAGCAATGACAAGAATCTGTCAGTTTTAAAGAACTCAATAATCTGAGAAATCTGAGAAACGGAAAAACTTATTTGCAGAAATTTCACATTATTAAAGGAAAAAAAAAAAGAAACAAATATTCTAAAATAGAAATAGAAATTTCTATCAAGTATCTTTGCAGGAAACAGCCTGATGGGAATGAGGGGAAAGGGTGAAAGTTGTTCCCCTCTGCAAGCTCCCTAAACTTGTATGGTGTGGGCAGGTTGTGGGGGGTTAGAACAACAAACCACCATGGATTCTGGACAGAAGTTCTTGCTGTCACAGCACTGGAGGTTGTAGCAACATCTAGTTTGCTTCTAACTGAGGTCAGTTTTCAGGACAGGAAAGGCAAATGATGGAGGGATGTTGTCAAACAAGGAAAATGGACTTTCCTGCTTAAGATAAAATAGCAAAATCTTGTTTGGTTTCCCAAATCTATGTAAGGATATTGAATTTCTTGTACACTAAAAGCAGCAGTATCAGTCATTACCTGGCTGGATATAAAGCCTTCTTGTCCTTGAAAAGTTCACTTGCTTCCAGTTTCTCTTCATATATAAGCTTCTGCTGATCTGTGAACTGATCTCTGTACTTTTTACACTACAAAACAGAGTATATTAAACAAACCATAAAATTGTCTTTCCCAATCTCACAGCACCACCGACTAATGTTTGCTCATTGCTCAAGATGCACATTCTTTGTATGCTTCTGAAGTGATTCAGCTCCATCCTACGTGCCACTGATAACAAACAGGAGAGGTGTTTTGCTCCTCACCTATTCTAGATACTTTTGAATTACACCAGAAACAATATATAAAGCATCTCCAGTAAGCATGTTGCACTCGAAATGAGCTTAACCTCTGAGATACCATTCATTGGAAGAGTGCGCTAAAAAGGTTGACAGAAACATAAATACACTTCCACAATTTTGGAAGTTAATGTAGGCAGAGAGAAAGAAAAAAAACGCAGCTGAGAGGGTGAGTTTTGCAGGCTCAGAAAGAAAAACTGTTCCTTGACAATCCCCAGAAAACACAGCCCACAAGATCAGTAAAACGTCCCATCAGCACTTGTACAGATTCTCGCCGTTCTCTCCGTCCAAAGATCCAAAACAAATTTCAGCTAACCACAGCTCATAAGTAAAAAATTCCACCCAGCACTTCCAGTGTTGTTCTGAGTCCTGGCCATGGACACAAGTATTACAAGCTATTAATTAACAGGCTGATGGCAGGAAGCAAACCTCTCTCCCTAGCCCCAGAAAGGAGTAGCCAGAATAGTTATATCCCTTGCAGGCCAAAGGCAATGATCAAAAAACATACTCCTTCCAAAGAAATAAAATTATCCTGGCTGGAATCAAAAGAAATACATGCTAAAAATAGACCCTTTGTGAACAAAACTGTTGAAAATCATGGGAAGTTCTGCACAGACTGGACCAGAATGTGTCCTACCCTCCACAAATGGAAAATCCTCTTTAGTTCCTTGTGAGTTGAATCCAAGAAAAGGTAAGGCCTCGCTGGCCAGTTTTTATCTATTGGTGATAAAGAAGGCATCTTATTCTTCATTTCCAAGAAGTATTTTTGCATCTGTGATAAAATTGAAGCAAGATGTTTTATTAATGTTCAAATATCAGAGTTATTGAAGTATGCAAGGAAAAGCAGATGCTCTGTGATTAAAAAGCACAGTTACCAAACTGCAACTCTCAGCTCTCATAAACCAGAATATGGATTTTTAAAGCCAGGTATATTGAGAAATGCAGATTTAGGTATCACAGAAATGTGCCCAATACCTCATACCATTCCTCCACCTTCAAACATTATCACTATCCTTTCTTTATATCAGAATATTAATTTGTCACTTCTCCGTGTGCTTGGACATTTCCTTACAAAGACTATCATAACACAACTGTTACATTTGATAGAAAATAAAAACTTAAAACACAGAAAGTGTGCAGGTGCTTTGGACAGATATATACATACGAGTCTCTGAAGGGTAAATTCATAAATTTTTCTTCCAGCATTGGCTCTGAAGAATTTCCTGTATTCTCTACGGACCTGGAAAGTTAAACAAACCCACAAAATGAATATAAAGAATGAATTTGTTTGCAAAGGTTCTTTTTTAACAAACTCTATGGTAGGAAACATTAAAACAAGCATATGTACATGCAAAGGGTTCCCTGAAACAGGAACATCACCTGGTCACACTTAAATTACGTGAAGCAGACCATGGACCACGATGTCTGAAAGATATCTCAGCTGACCTGAGTGCAATTATTTGCAAACTTATCAAGGAGTTTGAAACACTTCCCTCCAAAAAAATGCAAATTATTCAAATATTGTCAAATTCACAGCATGAATCTATTTTCAATAGGCTTTTGCATAAAGCTGGACTGGAAAAAGTGAGGCATCAGCAGTGATGGTACAATTTTCTTGTGTCTGAAGTGACAATGATTTGATGTTAATTACAGAGTTAACTGGTGAAATTTTCAGATTTTTCTCCTTTAAAATTCTTAATGCATGGAGTTTGATATAATAAAAAGGTTTTTTTTTTTTCAGAGCAGTCTTCTGCATGAAAAAATTCTTTTTATACAGGCAGCCTTCATTCCAAAAGAAAAATAAGATTTTGGTGCTTGGTAAGAGCAGAGAATCAACACAAAGGTTGCTTAATGTCAGAATACTTGATATTTGCTCCCAGAATTTATTTGAATGCCAATAAAATAAAAAATCAAGGGAGTGATCAAAACAATTTTTGCAGGTGATATTTTTAATACTTACTTGGAAGCGCAAGTTTTAGAGTACTTGTTTTGCCTCTTGTATTTCTGTCAGTGCTAATTAGCATAGATCAAAATTCAGAAAAGGCAATTAGGGAGAGCACAACTGGTTTGCAGTTTTATGTGACACCCAGGCTCACCTCAAGTCAGCTGAAACATCCCCCAAATTTTTTTTGCAAACTCTGGCACAGCCGGCAACACACCTGTTATGGGTTTTGGGCAAAACCCAGGGAAAACATCGTGGCTTTGCATGATTTACCCCAGAGCAAAATTTAGTGGTTTTAGCTAATTCACTGTGTGTTGCTGGCTTCTCTGTAACCAGAATATAAAGGAAAACCCATAGAATAAAATCCCCTTCAACTTACAGAAAAAAAATTACCCTGGCACCACCTTCTGCCTCATAGTGATTCATGCATTTTAAGATAAACCAGCATTTGGAAAGCAAGAATCTGTCACCATTTGGGGACAAAAAACACCCCATAGGTAAACAGATTTTGCTTAATCACACATTAAGATGCATCAACAAAACTGGCAGCATTCAGCTGTTCTCATTCCATGCAAATTCAGCGCATTTTTCCCTTCTCACTTAATAAGAAAAAAATATCAGTGTCCTTATTCACTCATTTTCTGCAAGGCTTAGTGCTCTATAATTAAGAGTACATCCTTTATTAATTATTCAGGGATAGTAATTAACACACTCAAAGCCACTCCAACCACAATCATTCCAAAATCTCACTACAGACTCTCCTTAATGATCTTGCTTTATATTATTCTTTGCGAGCTGCAAGGTGTGCAAATTAATTTGGAAGGAAGGGACTAATAGGCACCCACGCATCCTATTGCTGCTGCAGGGAAGCTGCAAAGCAAGCACTGAGAAATGCAAGCTGCTCCAGAAAAGCCTAAATCCAGAAAGTACCACAAGTGCTATTAAAATCTACTTGGTATACAATTAAAAAAAAACCTCAAAAACTAAACAACAAAATCCTCACAACTTAATGGTTTAATCTCCATCATTTTTATCAGCTTTAATTCTTCAGCCTCACATGCCTTGGGTGAAAACACTTTGCCTTCAAACGACCTGTGGTAACAGTGAAAGATTGGAATGGCAGACTATATTCTTATTCAGAAAAATCTGTGTATTTCAGGTGAGATGGAAATTGGAAGAGTAGCTTACACTATTTTATGAACTCACTGAAAACCACACCACAGACTGCAGAAATGTATTCCTGCTGTAATGTGCATTAAAGGTTTTGGAGTCATCAGCTTGCATTTAAATGCTGCTGTTTGATATAAAACGGCCTCTGAGTTCTCAGGAAGGACATATACTTGTTTTAAAATCATAAAAACAGACCTACTTTGGCAGTAGTACCTAAAGTGTGATTCTGATCTGCAGAATGACTTCTTAAAATGGCTTCTTTGCATTTTCCAGCTCTGGTTTCTGTGTATGTATTGTAATGGATTTTTTTTTTTTTTTTTTTTAATACAAATGAACATGTATTATATATAACTTTATGTTTTTAACTGTTTTTCCCATTTCATCACTGTCAGGATAAGAACAAGAATATGAGAGCTGAACTTTACTCTGCATTATCAAGTGAATTGTTCCTTTCATACCTCTGTAGTCTACAATAATTACAACTATTAGCAGAAGTCACTCCCAGCCAAACCAAACAGATTCAGATTTACGCAGTTCTTCAGGACTGTGTCTGTAAAACTGTGTTATGTAAATCATTTGGGCACAGACCTGAAACATCTGAAGATGCCATTTTCATAGTCTATTTACAGAGCAGAACTCCATTTCTCCAGATTACAGATGTGTTTTCTTTTGCCAACCAGTCCTTGAAAGCAAGGGACGGAAAACAAAACACTTTTGCGCATCTCAATTTCTCTAGGAATTCTTGGCTGTCACATGCCACAGGTAGCTCTGTGCAATGCCAGCCCTAAAAAGGCTGCTGGATGCAACAGGACATGACCACTGGCTTGACGCTGTGCCCTCCTCGACACTGGGATCAGGAGTCTACTGTGAGCAGCAGCGAGAGTCAGACACTTCCACCCCACTTCCCATTCTAACAAGCAGAGGTCACAACAAGAAAATACATCCTTGTAATCTTTCCAGATAGGACCTTTGCCAAGGTAGATCAGTTTTTAAAGTCAACAACTGTAACAGAGTCCCTTTAATCTGATTTTTATCTTTCTCTTGAAAGCTGCAATTCCCAATATGACAAAAATCCCCCAATGCCTCAATGTTGCTGTAAGCGAGGCAATTTCACCTTATGACTTTTCCAGCCAAGCCCACGACAAAGTTAAACAATGTGTAAAAAAAACATCCCTTCCAGTGAGCCCACACAACTGCTTGTTTATTAAGTGTTAGTAAGGTGTGCCACGCTTTACTGGGTTCATGTTGACAGACGGGAGTGTTGGAGAAAGTACCTTCAGTCCAAGCCAGTAAGCCCAAATGACTGCCACAGCATGCTTACGCCTAGCCTCCTCCTTCAAGCGTTTCAACTCCCTCCGAGCCTAGAAGGTTCAGAGAGTGAACAAAAGAGACAGCCCGATGCAGACAGCACGATGATGAGCGGGGAAACGCCTGTCCCACACCGAACAGCCAGGAGGGAAAAGGGTGCAGGACCTTCGGCACCCAGTGTGCCCTGTGAGCTGGTGTGAAGCCACACAGGAGGGCAAAAAAGCCCCCACTGCTGCTGGTGTGGCATGTACAGGTGGGAATTTTGTCAGCCCTTCCTCTACCTCTGTGCACACATCCCATAATTTGGTTCTGATGGGAGAGCTTTGCCGGCAGTTTCACGATCAAAATGATGCATGTGAAAATCAAGGCTTGCTAAAATCTCACTATCTACTCACTTCTTCCACTGGCAACTGCCTGGGTAGGACAGAATCACCTCTGAAACAATGTGTCATGATGACTTTCTAGCATTGTAATGAGGGCTTTTATTCTGAAGGTTAATTTTTATTTTGATCTTTATGTATTTAAAAATAAAATAAAATTCTCTAGCCTGTTAAAAAATGTCTGTGGAATTAAGGGGTAAAGCCATCAAACCTAGCACATTCCTCATGCACAAAGAGATAGGCACCTTCCTACCTTTCATCAATCATTCCATTTTAGGAAAGCAATTTGAGGCATGTGTGGGCAACTTAACAGAATGTCGCATTTTAGGAGATACCAGCACATTTTTTATTTAGTTATCTGATGACAACACTCAAGGGAAGAGTTCCAGTATTACAGGCTCAGAGCAGCTGTAGCCCTGTTCCTGCACTTGTCAAGCTGTAAGTTACCAGACTTGTGCAGCAGCAATTCCAGCCTGTGCCAGTTGTGCTCTTCTGGTGCAGCTGGAAAGGTTAATCTGCAGTAGATGTGGACTCAGAGATTGTGTTTTCACTCATCTGCTTGGCAGAAAAGCTCCTACTGCACAGCAATGTAAAAGCAACTATGCAAAGCTAAGTATTTGTCTATCTTGTGAAAAGGAAGGAAACTGAGTACTTGAGGCTCACTCTTGTTTAATTGTTTTTGTTAGCTTGCTCGTGGGTTTCTTTGGTAAAGCAAGAAACTTTTGATGGTAACTTTTAAAAATTTTTGTTCTAAATATTTCCCCAGGAAAAGATAAAAGATCACACCAATAACAAGTTGTCTCTCTTATCAGAGACTGTAATTATTTTTATAATCTTAATTCAATTTAGATTATTATCTTTATATACATATATATCATTATATTTAGATTATTTCTATTTAAAGAATAAGGAGACAATTTTTCACTAAATTCCTGTGAGCCAGTTCATAAAAATAACTACTAAACCATGTTAAAAAATATTCAAATCTACTAAACATTTAAATGAGGAACTTCAACATGGTTAACACTATTGCATCCACTGGATGTACCTTTTAATTCAAAGGAACATCTTAAAACTATGAAAACAAGTATCTCTTCTGCAATACTGAGCAATTTTTTGGTGAAAGGAACTCTGGTTAAAAATAAAATAAATTCTCAATGTGTTGTGCTTAATCAAATGTAGAGGAAACGGTGTGTCTGTCAAATTAGAGCATTATCTAAATATCAAGGTAGAAATGAAAAGTTCCAAAGACTCTCTAGTATGAAGGAAATTCTGTACATGTTTGTTTGGATTCCCAGGGCTGCCATTTTGCTGGAAATCTAATAGATTTTTACCAAAATAGCAAAGGTCAAACACAGCATTATACTCCAAATGTAATTTGAGCACATTTCTCCATCCACTTGGCAAGGTGTTCTAACAACACACCCACTACATAAATAGCAAAAAGAAAAATGTTTTAAATCTACCACATCTATGGTTTTCAACTAAATTAGGAATTTATTAATTGAAACCAATATATTTTTGACCTCTAGTGAACAGCATTTCAAATGTTCACATATCCCACAACGACAGGCTGGGGATTAGCGAGAATCTTTCAGTGGGACTTTGCTTCTGAAAACAAACAGCTGATGCTGAAATTCCTGGGATTTTTCTAGAGCTGTAAGTTTAGAATTGCAAACTAACATCATTTTCTGCTAAAAGATCAGATCATAAAATTTTGCTTTACTTGTACTTATTTAATTTTTTTTTTTTTACTGGTTCAAATCACAGCCAGAAAATTAAACCAATCATAGCTAGAATTTAATGAAACTTAATAATGTTGGTTTGAACTTGTAGGTGAAGACTGTCCAGGGTACAGATTACAATATATGGTGAAAATCTCAACTGGATCACTAACACAGTGTCACTGAAAGCACTTGTTGGGGGCATGGGGAGGAACACACCAAAAATCCCAGACCTTCTCGCCCCCCTCCACAAACCATGCTTTGCATATTTACATGTAGTTAAATCCATTTCCTAAATTGAGATTACTGTAGTCCAGTCATTTTTAATCTAGTCTAATGCCTTGTTAGTGCAAATCTGTACTTGGTTGCCATGCAAAGAATTTCCTACTCTACAAAAAACTGGCACACACAGTGCCATCAGATTTATTAGGTGTGGCATGAATGGAAATGGAAGGAATCTATGATCATGCTCTATTATTTAAGAGTGAATTGTATTAGTCATTAATTGTCACTATGAAATAGTGATTAAATGCTGATATTGTTGAGTAATGAAAGGGGGAGGGGGGCATGTGATATGTGCATGAAGTACCTTATATCCAAGCCAGAAAGCCCAAATAACAGCAATAGCATGTTTATTTCTAGCCTCGTCTTTCAGTCGTCTCAGTTCCCTTCGTGCCTGTGATGCATTTGAAAAGGGGATATAGAAAAGCTTAGGAAAGAAAAGGTTACTGCAAGTTCCCATTGGTGCAAGAAAGAAAGCAAGGAACCAGTCACTTCAAACAGCAAATATTAAAGCGTGTCCCAGCTTCCCAGATTGCACCAGCTACGACATGTTAGCAGCAAAGAGAAACCAAAATAACAGTTGAAGCAGTCAAAGCGGTTTAAGCCACTGACAATATTCCCAGATAACTATCCTGAGGGATATCCTTCTTCCTTCTATGTAGGGACACACAATTGCACAGTCTGCTGCCATTTTCTTACCTGGGTACCATGCCAATAAGCAGCAATTACTGTGGCAGCCTCATTACAACGCTTCAGATGCTTGAGTTCCCGAAGAACTTTCCGAGCCTGTAAAAAAATTTAATTTTTTTTTTTTTTAATAGCTAACTTTTTTATATTTTTGAGGTAGGACACTGCAACTTGTAAATCTAGGCAAAACAAAAAGAACACCACCTCCAAATCCCCAAGCAAATACATTCACAAATGCTGCTCAGCCTAATATTTGCTGCTCCAGGGAGGATTCTGTGCTGCAAGACTTTGGGACTTGCAGGTTACGGGATCTTAGTTCAATGCTCAGTTTTCTCCCAGATTTGCTGCATTACCTAAGATATCTATATGTCTGTTTGCACAATGGCAACAATATTTTTTTTCTCCATACAGTAAATGTCTAATCCATTTAGAGTGCAATAAAGAATAAATCACAAGTAAATTGTCTGGCTTTAGGTCACACTAAAGGCTGCTGTCATACCAGGCTTTCATGCACAGTAATGCTACTGCAAAAGAGCTTGTTCTCCAATGGCAAACAGAAAACCATAACTCAAGATGATGCTTTTAACCCAGTTTTCTTCAAATAATGCTCATGGGAAAAGACAGCACATCAATAGTTGGACTGAAAGGATATTTTTAACCCATTTAAACAAAATAATAAAGACAAAGTAAAAAGCCAGAGAAACAGCAAAATCTGATGATGTTACCTTATTGCTGGCAAACTTTAAAGCCTTCTGGGCAGGAGAGATTATTTACACCAATAGCTGCTAACTGCAGCCCCTTCCTTCCCTGTCTGACAGAAAGGGAACTGACTCCAGAACGAAAGGCAGTTCTCTCTTCCCTAACTGGCAGGGAAAGCCACCTTTAGCAGGATGAAGAAAGGTTAATAAGAAAACAGAGAAGCCCAGGTTTGTTTTTTCTGAAGCTGGACAGCAGTAGTTGCTTTAAGCATCATGCCTGCTTTCATACGAGCTGTTAATCTCATTTTTACCTCCTACTAAAGCATCTTTCCTTAAATATCTACTGGGATGCCTGATTATCCCTTCACAAAGTACAAACCTTTCAGAAAAGAAGTGAAGTTGTGGCAAACTGAGGCACAGCAATAAACTACTTTCTTAACATAAGTATACTTTCACTCCTCTGCTTAGCAGACAGAGGTGAATTGAGGATTTCACCCAGGTAACATACTGCCCAGGCAACCCAAACTCTTTATTTTAATCCTGCTTTCAGTTGGATTCATTCTTTGGGAATCCTGTAAAGCATAAAATAACTGTCAACCACAACTTGTTTCTTCCAAAGCAGTCCAGCACTACATTTTTCCTAAGGTCAGTGGCAGAGCCCCAGAGCATCCTTCTCTGGAGCTGCTGGCCTTCTCAGTTCCTTGGCAGAAGATGCTTCAAGGATAACCCAGAGGTTTAGTGTGGTCCCAGCATCCCACTTGCACCGTTTGCAGGGATTTATAGCCCAGGCAGCACATGCAGATATCCTGAACTCACCTCTTCTACAGCAAACACAAGTGTTTAATAATGGCTGTGGCACAGCCACAGCTCCAAGGAGAGAAGGTGTGAAAGGCAGGAGGCTCAGGGCACTCGGAAAGCGTTGTCTGACCTGCTCCTTACCTCACCAAACAGAGACAGCCTCAGTAGCAGGAAACTCACCTTCCACCCTCTGATGTACGACTGTACTGTAATAGCCGAACTCTTTATCCTCTGGTATTTTTTTTGTTGCTGTATTGAAAATAAGTATGTGATGCTTAGAACAGAATATTACGTCTGTTAAACACTGCATAATAAACCTTTCATTACTAACATTTGACAATATGCTTGAGGAGACAAGCACTAAATGTAAAAAGTGAACAATTTCTGACTGAGCAGATTAGAGTGTAGATTCTGTGTTCAGCTCGAGGGGAAACAAAGCACATCAACAATGCTGCATGGACAATGTCACTCTGTTTACAGAAACACTAAGTTCATGGTCAGCAGCACAAATGCAGATTAAATGCTAACAGTAATAGCTTTATTTGTCTTTCCCACCACCAGAGTAGAACACAAGCTGTCACAAATGCTCAGGTTTGTTGGCTAAGCTTTTTACCTCCTTTTCATAAGACATGAGCTGTTCCTATTACCCACACTGCCTTTATTATGGCTGATGATAACTTAGGAAGAGGGAAAAAACCAAAACCATGGATTCCTGAATGAGATGTTGGAGTACTATTTAAGTATGCCAGGTTGAAAAATAGATTTCCTGACAGCTGAGCACTTTCCTTCTGAAAAGCTCAGTTCTCCAGTAGCCCAGCATTTAGTGTAACACTAAATTGACAGACTTCACAACAGGGCTTTTAGGCTTGATATTCAGCCCACTCAGTGACAGTGAAAATCTCTGTGAGCAAGCTGGAGAGGGTCCCCTCTGGGCCACCCTCGTGCCATGGCTGCTGTCCGTCATGCCCTGCAAGGCAACAGACAGATAAGTGCCTGCAGATCCTTAAGTCAAGCCTCCAGCACAAGGAATTGCTCAATAAAAGCTTTATTCATTCCAGGAACTTCCCATGAAACCTTCCAAAGCACAGTGCCTACCAGTCATGTTGGGTTAGGAGAACACTGCCTTCCATCCACATGAAGAGGCTGAGGAAACATCTCTATCATCACCAATAAAACAACTGCTGCCATGTTTCACCAGCCACCCAATAAAGGCTTACAGTTAAGAAATCAGCAGTTCTTGGTTGTGTATTTGTTTTCATTTCTTTATATTTAAAGTTGTGCCAATGTAGCTGAAGTAAGTCCATTTTAAATTCATTAAGATTGTGTGAGATCGTAATGAAGCCTTATAAGTACAATGATGCTGTTTGTAGGAAAGGGGCTTCCAGTCACACAAAGTCAGAGAGAAGAGTTTTTACAGTAAAAAAGTATGCTTCAGTCATATTTTTTCTTAATGAGCTACACTTCCCTCTAATTATCCAAAAGAAGTGAACCAAACACTGATGGCTTTCAAGAGTCAACCGAAAACCAGGGATTTATCAACTCTGCAGTTTAAGAAGACTTTCCATATTTTATCAAGGTTTCTGACATGCTTGTGCTATTCTCTAGCAATAACAAAATGCAGCTGAGAAGTTCAAGAGTGGTTTTAAAAACAAATAAATCTTTTTTTATCATGTAAGTCAGCATTGTTTACTAACTGCCAAGAAGACATGAAAGAGTTGTGTAACAGCGCTGTTCAGTTCGTGGCACAGAACACCCAGTCCACACACAGAACTGAAACTGCTTTAGGATGAACTGGATTGATAATGATACCAAATTATGAGTCTTAAGAGTTACAATTAAAATAAACCCCTAGGGGCAGCATTCTTGAGTCTAAGGCAAATGTTCCAAATAAGGCAAAAACACAAAAAGGCTTAGGAATGACTGAATTCCACAGAAGTGCACATTTGTGTATTACTGAACATTTTTTACACATTAACCATATGTTCTGAGAGCACTGTAAGCATTGGAAAGCACAGCATTTTAGCTGAATGAAAAAGACTCTTCCCAGCTGAGCCACAGAATCCTGCTCTCCCAGAGTGAAAGGACTCTGGTGAGGTTTTTAATTTTATAAAAACAAGCACAGTGTAAGCACTCAACAGTAGTCTATAGAAACTAAATCTTCTTTATTCCCACTATTGGTACTTAAGTATTAACATAAAATTGAATTCTTTCAACAGCTCCCTGTACATATTGAGGAAAAATATCCTACGAAGGTTATATGTATTAAACAATGAAGAGAGCCCCCCATGTAGTGAGGATGGTATCTTACTGCATATCTCCTGTACCAGGAAGCGATCACAATCTGGCATTTTTTCATCAACAAGAAACGAGTACGGCATTTCCAGCCTCTGTAAATCTTTTCAATTAGAGTAGCCAAGTCCTCCAAACGCTGCTTTCTCAGGTCTTCTAGTTTGAAGAGCTGGGTGTAGGGGTTTTGAGGGTTTTGTTTGACATTGGAAAAAAAACAGCAGGAGAGAAGAGACAATGAAAAAAACCCATAAGCACAGCTCTTGTAAGAGAAATCTCTTCTTTACTGAAGTCCCCCTTCAGTCACACATTGTTTTATTCATCTCCAGAGCTACAGGCAGGTGCACCAACAAGATTTGTGGCAGATAAAATGTCACATGTCAGTGCTCAAACATTTTATTATATTAAAGCTGACAACTGCTGTAGAATCTTGATTCACATTGATTTTAATGGGTCTAACATTAAAAAGTGGGGTTTTTTTTAACATTACATTCATGGCAATATATCAAAGCACAGCATGCAGAAAAATCTGTAGGAACCAGGTAGTGAATGATGCTGTCCTCATGAGAGAGGGCTTGATTTTGCAGAAGGCATTTTTCACTTACTGTTCTTGGGTTGCGGATGAATATCTTTGATCTACCGAATGAAAATTCATCTTCAGGGATTCCCAATTCATTAAACAGCACCTCTACTCCAGCTCTAAGAAGGAGTAAATGAGCGTCACAAACATGACCCCCAGCTCTAAAACTTCTTAGTTTACATATTCACAGTTTAATTTATGGAAAGTATATGAAAGCCTATTTTAAACTTTTAAATAGTGCTTGGCAAAAGATTGAAAACCTAACTCATTTACCCAGTGGTTTATTCAGCTAAAGGCAAGAATAATCACTGTAAAGATTCAGAATAATTTGATGAAGGAAAAAGCAAATTTTATTTTACAGCATCAGCAATGGCCTATTTTTTCCTCTTACATCTATAATTATTTTACTTAAAAACAGAAGAAAGGAAAAAAGAAGGGCTCACACTAACGTCAAAATGTGAAACAAAGACTGACGAGTTAGACAAATGTCCGTGTTCCACTCTATTCAAATGCCTTTTATGAACACCAACAGAAAAAAAGGAAAGTGGAACTGTGCAGATCTTTGTGATGATTATTGTAATGCTATTGCTACCAATACTGCACTGCTACCATTATCTTGAAAACCTAAAGACTTAAATTGTAGCTAAAATATGTTAATCAATTATGAAAGATATTTAAATCATGCTTTTGGTGGCCACGTGTAAAAAGAAATAATATAAGCTTATTTGCTCATCCCAGACATTATTTTCAAAAATATACATAAATACTATGCAATTTAAAAGTATATTTAATATGATTGATTTGCAAGAGGCATTACCTCATAATCATTCCCCAATCGTTATTTAAAGTTATTCCTGAAAGGACAGAGGAACATTATATGGCTGTCTCGAAAAAATTAGTGCTCTTACACTTTGAAAGTTGGTTTTTATAGATAAATGCCCTCCTGATCATTCCAGACCTCCCAGTTATTTTGAATCCACTGTAGAATCTCTCTCTTACACTCTTTCTTTCAGACCCAAATCAGTAAGGCCTGCACTATATTCCTTTTGCAATGTATGCACAACAACTAAAAACTCAGGACATGTGGAAGATGGGAATTTCACTCAGGAGAGGTAGGAATATTGCTGTTTGCCTACCTGGCTGGCCCTCTCCAGTGGGGCCAGGTCTGCTTGCAGAGCATTTTGTACCTCTCCAGGCAGGGCTCGTAGGGCTGCCGGAAGGCGTAGCCCGCTCTCCTGACCCGCACGTTCTCCAGGAGCCCGAGGTACCGGATCTGGTGGCACACCAGGGCTTCGTTGAAAATGTGTGCAGCCTTTTTGTCATTGGGCTTGATACACCTGCAAAGGAAAACCAAAAGGGACATCTCTTTGCGCTGTGCACACTAACAACTATTACGGTGAGTTTAAACCATACATCTCAATAGTTCATCCTTGGACATCAAGATTTGTTTTGGTTTTTCATAACCTCGTCAAACAAATTCACCAAATCTTTGGCACTGGGGAATTTACCTGATGTAGTTTGGATTTTTTGTCTGGAGATTTTTCATCAGGGTAGCAACTGAAGCCTTGAACTGTGAACCTGCCGTTGGTGGTCTCTTCAGATTGATCTTAGCAGGGTTTCCTTCTGGGAACAGTGCTTTGATAAGGGAGTGGTTGGCCTTCCACATGGCCTGGGAGAGGTCACGGTACAGAAGATCATTATTTTTGTCAACAAATCCTTCCACCTGGTACATAACCTGAACAACAGAGAAGAGTCTCATCAGCGCAGGTTTTGAACTACAACATAGACCAGTTCAAAACTGACCCAAGAAATTGATTTCTCCTTCTTATGCACTGTCCAAAAGAAACAAAACATACTTCAGCTTTCATTTTAAGTCTGACATTTGGACAACTTTTTGTTGGATAAAATGTCTGTGAACATGCTACCTGAGAAAGATGCATTTTCTCATACTGCCAACAGTTCCCTGTGTCAATCAATTCTGGCTTCTGAAGTGGAAGAAACCCTTTTTTCATGATAACTCTGACACACCACCACCTGCCAAGACTCCAAAACAATATATTTATTTTTGTCTGACGAGGTTTTTCTCCCTCTCTTTTGAACCAAAACAACAAAAATACCCTTTCCTTTCAAAGTACTTATGCTTACATTATTTGCCTAACCAAAACAAGACATGGAATATCACCTCTTGCTATCACAGTGCAAGCATCAAGCTGGGCAGCCCCCAGGGGACTGCTATTTTAAAGGACTTTTACCAGGACAGCAGTCCAATAACAACAAGGATGAGTACAAAGCTCTGACCTGCAGCTGGGTACCCAGGAGGCAGCCAGAGGAACCTCATGCAGATCTCAGATTGCTACTGGCTTCTTTAATTTTTGAGGGTAGGAAATGTATTTGATTAATTGTGACAAGTCATCTGGCTGGTAATACAGATTCTTCTTCAGATCCATGATTTCTCAGCTCTGCATAGGTATGTACTATGTACACAGAATACTGAATGAAAATAGTACTGACATGTATTTTACACAACAGCAAGTTACTGGGAGCTCAGGCAGCATTTTATTTTGGAGAACGTGTTTCTGGTTCTAACAGGTGCAGTAAATGCCACTACTGGAGAAAAAAAAAAACCAAAACAACTTCACATAAAATTACTTATATTTCTTAAAAGGAGGGTCAAACTTTTGCTGACCAGCGACAAGATCAAAATGTTCTCAGCTGAAGATGGAAAAACAACATTCCTCCCAAAATAGGAGGAATTCACTCTGCTGGGTAAGTGAATGCCTGTAACAATCAAAGACCCTCACTGCCTGCTAAGACACAATCTGTGCACAGCCCTTCTTAAAGTCCTGGGGTATTTTCAATTCACTTACATTTTTGACAACTAAAGAAAGGTATTAACCTTTTAGGTAAAAGGTAAAACTTTTTAGGTATTAACCCCTGACAGATTATATGCCGTTACAAACTCTTTTTGGCAAATAATGCTAATGAATGGCTGCCTGAAAGGCTGAAAGTCTGATATTTCCAGGATTTTGAGTGAGAAAATTATCAACCTATTCAAAATTGCAAGATTGATAAAATTTCAGAAAGCATTAAGCAGTCCTAGGGAAATGAAACACTTTCCAAATATTCTTTACTGCATGACATTATCGTTTCAGCAGATTCAGACAAGGTATAATTTACATTTACAACCCTACCTTTACTTTTAGTTTTGTTTTTTAATCAATTGTCTTCAGTCTATAAATTTAATTATTTTGATTTTTCTTAATAAAAAGTCATAATGGATTACACCCTGAAAGTTGTTAGACCTGTATTTATTCATACTGCTTATACTGTAAAATGCAAATACATTTGCAAGCCCTCTGTATAGCTTTCTCTTCCATCTGTTTAAACACAGAGTATCAAACTCATTTCGTTCACATGTACAAAAACTGCATTTCCTCAACAATGTGACAAAGAACTGCAGCTAGCTCAGTGACAAAGAGCATGTTTTCCAAAATATGTCACCAACAAATGTGAGTGAATTTTTGTCACTGTGAGCAATGATTTATTTCCAGAGACCTAATGCAGCACCTTTCTCCTTTGATGGAAGGAGAACTGCTTTGATTTCAGCCAGAGCAGCAGGACTTTGTAAAAGGGCATGTAGTGACAGGACAAGGGGTAGAGGGGCTTCAGCCTGACAGAGGGCAGGTTCAGGTGAGATATTCGGAAGGAATTGTTCCCTGTGAGGGTGATGAGGCCCTGGCACAGGCTGCCCACAGAAGCTGTGGCAGCCCCATCCCTGGAAGTGTTCAAGACCAGGCTGGATGGGGCTCCAGTGAAAGGTGGTTTGGAACTAGGAGATATTTAAGGGCCCTTTCAAGCAAAACTATTCCAAGATCTCTTAAAGCCTTCTAGCCCAAATCACAGATTTTAGGCTTAAGACAGAAAAGATTAAGAGAGGTCTGGATTTTTTAATCAGCTACACCAGCCCCCCACACACACCACGTGCTCCCTTCAGCAGGTACCTTGCCAGCGTAATGCTGAATCCTGAAGCAGCTGTGAGGCAGGGAGGTGTCATTGAGGAACCGGGAGCACTTGCTCATCCTGCTCTCAAAATGCTGGTGAGTGGCACAGACCTGGTTCAGTTTTTCTAAAAAGGTGTCATCGGTAACAGTTCCCGGTCTCAGGCATTCTTCATCCAGCATGGCCAGGATTCCAGTTTGGTTCTGAAGTTTCAAAACAAGAGCTCTAGTACTTGTTTCCATCACAGCACAAAAAAGAGACCATTCACTTGTTTGACTTCTGCTACCCAGAAAAACATTCTTCGAGCCATCTCAGAGTTTGGATCTTTTTACCTCATGGCCATTTCCAACTGATTTTTAGCACTTGCATTTTTGAAAGACTTTTTATGAGATCTGAATCCTGAAATTCACGTTGAAACATCTTGTCAGTTGTTCTGACAACAAAATTCTGACAAGCAACTCTGACTGGATACTGAAAGTATCCAGTGTATGGTAAAATCACCATGTATTTTATGTTAATGGTTAAAAACTGTTCTTTTCTGATTGTTAAGGAATTTTATCTTTCTTGCATTTGAAGTCTTCTCAGTATATACAAGTACTTTGAGTACCTCAAACACTCAATAACATGTAATTGAGTTTTCTGATTTCCATACGAAAAGAAATATTAATTACAATGCAGCATGTGATATTTGCTATGGAAAACAGCCCTAAATGTAAACATTTAAAAGCTGTTTAATTTGGGTTTGTTGGGGGCTCTTTTATGTAGGTACTGCTGAATATTTCTACAAAAGTAACATAGCTTATAAAAAAGAACCTTTGTAGTAAAATAAACTTCTACCACACAAAGTAAGATGAATAATACAATGAACGGCGTGTTTCACAAAATTTAGTGCATGAGGATGCATACAATGTTACAGCTAAATTAAATCCACGCATTAAAAATTATCCAGAGATGTTCTTGAATTCAACTTACGTTTTCTATTAGGTCACAAATTATAGCATTGTTGAAATATTCAATATGAGTCCATTCAATCCCCTATAAGAAAATATAAATACATGTGTGAACAGGAAGACAATGAAGGGAGCTTTTCCTCTAGGCAATTAAAATAGTATTCCAGTTAACCATGGTACTACTTTCAAATTTAATCCTTCATGCTTACCAACAATTCATTTATTAAGGAAAAAAAAAAGGCAATGATCTACTACTAACATTATCTGCACAAAATGAGTGTCGTTGAGCGGCTGCCAGAGTCGCTCTCCATTCCTTTCCCCCACCCATGTCAGCTTCCCATGCACTCCCTGGCTCCAGGCCAGGCTCCTCCCGTGCTGCCCACGCTTCCCACTGGCCAGAAGGAAATCAGCCCATGTCACTGCAAGCTCCTGAGATCAAAATTTCTAACTTCTTCGTTGTTGGGGGTTTTTTTTGTTTTCTTTTTTTTAATGGGAGGAAGAAAGAGGGCTAAATTTAGATAAGACCATTTGAAAAATCCAGAGTATGACTGTTGTTCAGATGTTCTTAATATCTCAATTTTTTTTCGAACATCAGCGATAAAATTTCCAGCATGAGATGCCAATGCATCACGAGGTAGCACTGGTAGGGCAAAGGACTGAAAGAAGGAAAATATTAATTTCATTCTTAATTCGCACTCTGTGGTACTTCTTACAGTTTACTTTTCTCAGAGCATTTGAAATATCATTCAAGAACCAAATTGCAGTAATGATGGTTCACCACTGAATGCAAAATTGAAAAGAGATGCTGAAATTTCATGTTATACTCATGATCATAAGCCAGAAACTTTATGTAATTTTTAAAAATGTTTATATGGCAAAGTGGTATCATCCAGTTTGAGCACAGACAGTGTGTGCCAGTTTTTACAGCTGGCAGCTGCTATTTTGTCTGAGCTCTGTGTATCATGTGGAGCACTGCTAAAACCTATTAAAACTTTAGCTTGATGTTCACTCACAGAATAACATCAAAAACCAGAGGCTGGTCTCCACAGGACATCTTAAATTTATCCATGAAGCTCACAGGGCTCCCTTCAATACAAACCTGAAAGAACACTAGAACCAAAACTTAATTTGCAGTTTCTTTTGTGTGCTATTACCTTTGCCACCCAGTTCCCTCTGAGGAAGGACTGGCTGTGGCTGTTCTTGGGGTGCATCCCAGACAACAGGCTGCAGGGTAATGGCACTAACACCAGAAAGTGACATTAGTGCTCCAATAAACCAATTAGCCCTTGCTCAGAACGCCCAGTCATTGTTGCCAATGAATGAATCAGAGCTGGGTCTTGTTTTCTGGAGAACTCATAATGTGAAACAAATGCCAAACCAACATTTTTTGCTTGATGTAACTACCACACAAACATGCTCCATGTCAGTCCTGTGGTCAAAAAGTGCCTCTGTTGCCTGAAAAATGGTTCCAGCCTGCATGTCTGTGTATCTTTACAGGGACAGTGGGAGGAGGATAAGGAAAGATCCAGTCAAGTATTACCTCTCGGATGTATTCCTCCTGCTCTTCTTTGAGGGTAAGTTCAATGAAGATCTGCTGCAACTTCTCATTACAGTAGTTGATAATGAATTGTTCAAAGCTGTTGTCCTGTCAGATGAAACATGTTTGAGTTTGCTTTGTGTAAACAGCCTGGAACCCAGCTGGAGTGAGTTACTGCAGCAGCTGCAGGTCAACAAGCTGCTGCATTAACTACTCCTTCCAGTTTTGTGATGTGATGGCTGGAGTAATATGGAGTAATATTTGATTGAGATCACAATTAGTTTAGAAATTTTAGACCAAATCCTTCCCTGAGGCTTTGTCCATTGGGAAGGGCAAAAACCTCTGTAGGTTTTATTCATGATGCCTCCACACTGATTCCTTTTAACAAGTCATAAGGACACCTGTGGTGTCAGGGAATAAACAAACAAAGTTTTGCCTGCACTAATCTGTCCCCATATGTAAAATGTAGTCTCCTGCAGGGTCTGATAAACAAAACCATGACAGTAGCATTAGCTCTTTTCCACTCAGCAGCCAATAAAGCATCCTATTTCCCTACAGAACAAGGCTCAAGCTGCTGTTCCAGTTGCAGCTGAGCCTGGGTTAAGAGATTATTGGCTCCAGAGGTCAATCCACCTCCTCCCTGCCAACAAACTGGCCCTTGAAATGATGGGAAACAAAAGAGCTTCATTGACTAAAATTCCGCTAACAGGCTAATTCATCTAAAACTGGGTTAGGGAGCAAGCAGATGTGTGACCCTTTGCAGAAGGGACCAGGGAGTGGAGCAGACCCCAGCAGGAGGGGTGGGCACAGGAAGGAGGCTTGTTGACTGCCCCATCACAGCCTGTGATGTGACACTGCCTTTTTTAAACTACCAAATAATCTGCTGTACAATACCTGTGAAGCTTAAATTATGCTGATAGAATTTTTATCACTGAAGGGCAATCATTTGAATATTTGAATTAAGGATCTGGCTGCTAAATGAGATTAAGAACACACAAGCAGATTAGAAAATATTGAGGTAGCACAGATTACTTTTATCATTTTAGTTTTAAATGAAGCAAAATCATAGCTGATCACCAAAATTCCTCAGCCACAAATTCTGCCCCTCTCACCAACTGCAATTATCACTCAGAGATTGCAAAACTTGCATAGCTCTAGATGAGAGTTAAAATTTGGCATGCAGCAAAATCAGCACTGCAAACAAGTCATACTTACTGCATTCTGTTGAAAAAGAAATTACATAAACTGAAGTCAGTACTTATTCTACTTCTATAACAACAAAGAATATATCTATTAGCATTTATTTAGCATACCAAGTAGATCAATCTCTGTATCACTGAAAATGCAAAGTACTACATAAATGTTATGTATCACATCTTGCTCACATATGTAGGTGAGTCTATCTTTAGGTACTGTCTAAATATTATAAAATAAACCAAGAGGTTGAGACACATCAGAGCCTAACACAGAACAGCGTTCTTGCATTGCCCTGTCTCTAAATCACCAGGTAATTTTTCCTCTAAAAGCCATTTTTATAACCTTGGGCATACAAATGTCTGCAAAAGAAGAAGAGAATGTGGAAGGGAATAGAGAATACTGGTGGAAGAATGAGTGTAAGTTTACTTGACACATCCAGATAAGGCCATCACTTCAGATATATTGAGTGTGAAGGAAAAGGACCCCAACTGTCACATCACCCAGACAAAGAGAAAGGGTAAAACACACTCTGCACCCTCCTGCCAGGCATGTGCCACCCACCTCTGAGAGACTGCTTCTCCAAAAGACCAGGTTATTCTGATTAAAAGGGCTGCAGGACTATTCACTCACAAATTATACAGGCTTGGTCATCAAGAGAGGATGGAAACTGAACAGAAAATCCAGCTAAACCATCTAACTGAAAGGTCATTAACAATACATTAAAGTAATTGCTAGATGTTTTCCTGATTTGCTGTGTATCTGTGATATTTATGGCCTGCCAAAAAAAAAAAAAGGCAAACCAAAATCCATAGAGTTCACAAATCGCTCACTTTGAGCTCTGAAATTCTATTTGACATTGCCAAGCCACTGAAAATTGCTATTCCAGGAAAAAAGTTATTGAAGAGCAGCAGCAATGTTGTTCTTTATGAATAACACAGAGCAAAAGGCTAAGACAGTTAATTATGGCAAAGAAAATGAGGGAAAACGTATGAAATTACTGAACTTCTCAAAACACTTAACTCTGAGCAGACCAGAAGATATTTGGTAAATTAAATACACTTCAGAAAAGTGTAAAAAACCCTGTATGAAACAAAACAGAGTGTTTAGCTCTAAGAAATTCTAAGGAAGGCAACAGAGGTTGTGCATTTATCCTCATTCATAATAATTAATATCTCTGATTTTTAATTATGTGAGGGCTCCACAAAGCATATACATTCACGAATGAGAATAACCTATATCAGTGATAGCACATCACTAAACCCACTCAGGAGACAGGGGCTGGAGGAACCCAGACTCCTCATGTTGACCACTTGTATGAAGTGACACAAAGGGGCAGCCAGACCCAAAAGTTGAGGAAGAGCTACCAAATATTCTTAGGAAATTTTAAGGTGGGAAAAGAATAAAAATTAAGACCGTATCTTCTCAAGGTGTCAGCTTCTCTTCCAGGCTGTAATTCTGCTACTTTTAATGTCGAGGGCATCACTTCAATCCCTGCATTTTAATAGCAGCTTTCTAACTATGCCTTTGAAACAACTGTGGAATACAAAATAAAACCTTCAGGGAATGTAAAAGTACACAGTCTCTCAAATGAAATAAAGGTGCTGGGAAAACAGAATGTCACCTGAGATAGGCTTAAAGTCATGTTGAATTTATAGATACAGCTCAACCAACCACCCTCAGCTTATCCTCTGAATCTTTTATCAGACACTAAATTTAGAGGAGTAGAAAAATTCACTGACAAAAATCAAAGCCTACTTCACCATGGTTCTCACTTCACAAATAACAGTGTCTTGCTCATCAGCTTCATTCTTTATCAACCTTCATGGTTGGTATTTCATGAATAACAAGTTTGGAACTCTAAAAAAATTATTCTCCATGCAAAAATAAAGTGATCATATATACTAGCTATAAAGTTCTATCTGTGAGCCACAGCTATTACATACAGCTGCTTGAAAGTCCTAAAGAAAATATTCTTTTGTCCTTAATATTTTACCTAACTACCTAACTTCAAAGATTCCTGGAATCCATGGAATCATCTGAAAAAAATATACATGGTTTGTTGCTGACTTTATACATTTTTATACCACTAAAATACCAATGTGAAACAGACAAAAATATTTCTCTAGAAAAAAAAAAAAAAGAGAAGCTAAAAATCTCTTACTGGTTTCAGGCAGAAATATCTCCATTAGATTTATGAACACAAAATATCTAAAACAGGGCCTTTGCCTCTCAACATTAGATACTTTCTAACCTTCTCTCCCCACACAGAATTCAAATTCACTTTTTAAGTGCCCAGCTTCCAACAATTTCCAAAGATAAGGCAACTAAGATACCTGCTTAAAACTGAAAACTGGGTACCTTACCACTAGGCAGGAATAAATTCTTAACTTCCACCTGCCTAATAAAGTCTAACTTGAAGTGTTCTATTTTTTGTGTCTTCTCCACTGTTTTCCCCAAATTAAGTAGATGATGTTGATCCAAACCTAGAGACTCAGGTTTATCACACCTTCACAGGTGTTTCTCAATGTCTCCTCTTCCTTCTTAATCTTTCACCATACCATTCTTGTTCAGAGGCAAAGAAATCTTGTTCAGATTCAAAAATCTCCACATTGCTCAAGTCTGCACCACACTGACAAAAAGGTGTCCAGCAACACTTTTTCAAATGCATTATGTGAAGGCAGTACAGCTAAAGTAATACATGAGATATATTTAATGGAAAAGCATCTTTTAAAAGAAAACACTAAACATTTCAAGCCATGAGACTGTTGAAGTACAGAGGACTGATGTCATTAAAATGAACTTTTACCTCAGTGTGAGAGGGGAAAAAGACATACAGAGACTGGTACTTCTGCTCTATCACAAATAGCCCCAGAAAGTCCGGTTTTTAAAATAGCAACACAGTTCCAGGCATCAGAAGTCTCTGACTGCCTCCTAACATAAGCAGGCGACCCCAAGTAGCTCCATCAAGCCCCTAGAGAAAATGCCAGATGGCAAAAGTAATGATGATAAAAGACCAACATACTCACTTCACTGAGATGAATGGTGGAATGAAGAGTGAAACCAACCAGCAAATTCAATTTATATGCTACTGTGGTGTCTGGGGATAGGGGGTTTTATGTATGACCACACAAGCATACGAGTTTATGAGATGAAACTAAGGAATATAAATGCTAGGAAGTTAAAATCAGCAAAATGGGAAAATTGCATTTAAAGAAAATGAAAAAATATACTATTTTAATCTCAGAAAGCAATGACCCACTTATATTTGGCATATAATGACTTATAATGACTCACTTATAATTTTTCAAAATTTTTTGCAAATTCAGTAAAGGCACGTTATCAATATTTATCCCTTTCGTTTCTGTTTACATATACAAACATTTAAGCAATCAAGCATATTTCCTGTAAACTAGACTGCTCTGGGCTTTTGTGTAAATATCTCTATAGGCAAAGAACCAGAGAGGCACATCTTCTAATTATAAATATTCCAGTATATGCAAACCAAGCCACGTTTCAGTGTACCTCATGGAAGCTGCGGGGATTGTCCATTTTTCATATTTGTGTAGCTCAACCAACTTCAGCCCTCTTTGTGTGCCAGGTAGAGAACCAGGAGCTCTGAAATCCAGCTTGCTCCCAGCTGTGCTGTCCAGGCACACAGCTCTGAACCAAATTTGGACTTAAAAGGGCAAGAAACTACAGTGAATCCAGTGCAGGTGTGATTCATGGGAAAACGCAGGTACTATCACTTCAACAAACTCAACCTGATAAATTCAAGTCCTGGAACAACAGGAATTACAAAAAGGCAAGAAACTCCTGCATAATCAGAACCACTCCTCTGCTGAGACAGAAATAGCTGCTGTAGGGCAAAACATTATTCTCACAACCTGAAGCAGAACATTTGTGTATTTTTTGCTCAGCATTTCAAGTATTTCCTTTGTTGCAAACAGCCAGCCAATGAGATTTACTTCATAAAATTGCATGTTGTGAAATAAGACTCTCTAAATACTTCTGGTATAATAAGATTAATTAAATGGTGGTTAACTTCCTGGGATGCACCTCTGCTTTGAGCATCCCATCACTTAAGGAAATTATTGCTTTATAGTATTTTAAAACCTCCCTGGCACCTAGGAGTCCAACCAAGATGCTGCCAACCAAGGCTTCTGTAAAGCTCCTCTCTCACATAACACTTGCCAGCAGAGGTAATTGATCAATTATAGATTAAAAATTCAGTTCTCCTCTTTCCCACTAGACTGGGGTTTGCCAGAAAACGCAGAGGGCTAGGTACACACATTTTGGCAATGCTGCTTGCCAGCATATGATAAACTTCTGGGCATCCAGCAAAGGGTTGAACAACTTCAAAAAGAAAATCTGTTGCAAGGTCGAGTAGAAAAAGCAGGTGGAAATTATGGTCTGGAGAACAGGGCAACTAACAAAACAGATATCCATGGATGAGTTAAAGCCAAAGTCGAGACATGAAGAATGGGTTCCCAGATTCTTAAAAAAAAAGGAAGGAAAAAAAAATACATCCTGATAAGTCAATTTCCTCCTTGGATATTTTTTTTTTTTAATCTGTCATCCTGCTAGCAAATAACTAGATCCTTCTCCTGTAAAATAATCCTTTGGGGTGTTAGAGGAAGACCCTGATCCAGGAGCACTCTTTCAGAGCTCAGTATGCTCTGAAACTGCAATGTCCTTCATGTAATCAACAGGACAGAAAAAGGCAAAGCAACCAGTCAGCAACTGGACCAAGTTGTTGTACAGGTTTAGGGTGAAGTTGGAAATATCTCCCCCATTTTTTCATGCCTTAAACACCTCAGAAAGACATTTTCAATGATTACTTCTTATCTGGTTACCTCTCTCTAAAAACAGACAACACAACTATGAACTTGTTAATATGAAGAAAACATTCTTCATATTTCTAACATATTCCCTCAATAGAGATACTATCATTTTCTTCTTGTCCAGATGACAGCTTACATAGTACGTGCAGCAGGACCAATCTTCTTTCTGTCACCTCAAGGGACTTCTATGCACAAGAAACAAGCTAATTGCTTTAAATAAAAAGAAGTGCTATCAAAATGCATCACAGACTGTTAGAAATGGACCTGGTTTTACTGCTGAGTGGCTTGGCTGGCTTACTGATGACATTTTTATTTACTGGTGGGTTTTACACAGAATGTGGTGGGTTCTGCCATGTCTTTGCACATTCCTGTCTACCTGGAGCAAAAGGAGTTGGCCAGATGCTGTCCCAAAAGACAAGGCAGTCACATCACCTCTGGTCAACCGAATGGAAGCGGTCGCTCTCTGCAACCCTATCACCAGTGCCTCCCAGGTTCCTGTCAGGCTGAAAAATGTGGAACTGCTCCACCAAGGGACTGAGCAGAAAGTACTCACACTCTCAAACGGTCTTCTCAAGGCCTGGCAAATTTCAACAAGCCTTGTTTGGCAGCGTTAACTTCCATAAAACTGCACTCCAAATCATTAACTTCATCGTATGGACCAGCTGCAGAGTGGCGCCTGGATATTCAGAATAAAGCCTTTCAGCCAACTAGCACAGACAGACATTTCTATCTCTGAAGGGCTGGGTGGGATGAAATGAGCTCACACTCGCTCCAGGACATTCATTTTTACATACCCTACTTCTTGTCTCCACAGGAAATGCCCACAACAGGAAACTCAAGACCCAAAGCAACTGGAGAGAGCCTTCTGCTCATCTCTGCCGAGCGCTGCCAGGCCCCCATCATCTGCCTCCTACAGCCTTCACGTCTTGATCACAAAGCCACCCTTCCGCCCCACCCCCACACTCTGCAGAGATGCAGAAACGGCTTTCTGCCCAAAAATACACAATCAAACATGGAATAAAACAGGAACAGCCCCAAACCGAGCCCAGGAAGCCTGGAACCAAACTGATTCTAAAACTCCCGGTGCCACCAGCCGTCATTCCTGCCCCATCTCAAATCACACTGACTACGCACGCAGCCGCTCAAAAATGTGGATAAACATACTTGGAGCAATTAGTGTCAGGCTTCAGGCCACTGCCCAAACTCCAGCAGCACAGTTACACAACCAGCCCAGCCCTCCAGCCTGCATTTTCACACTAATCCTAGTCCCTAAATCCTTGCCCACAGACAATTCACACAGAGCCACCCAAAATTTCAGCCTTTCGTTTTGCAAACATTCAGTCCCAGCACTTGGCTTACCACAAAAGGCATGGCAGGATTCAAAAATAAACACAGCTTTACAGCACCTATTTTGTGGATTGCATAGCCAAGCTTGCTGCTGACATCTGCCAAACCCACAGAGGCTGAGGATTATTGATAGATTTAAATTCCATAATCTGAATTTTTAGACAGCCAAGTCCTTATATCTACTTTCTTGAATGGCTTTTGTGTTTGTCTGAAAAATGGGGTTTGTGTTTGATAAATATACTAGCAAAACCCAAACCCTAAAGAGTATGTGCCAGCAGAATCAATACTCTAGCTATTGTTTCTCTGCTAATTTCCAAGAAACCTCCAGTTACCCTTATAAATTAACTTCAGTTTAAATTGCAGAAAATTGCAGAAACCAGAGTGAACCGTAAATAAATGATTCTTTCAAAAATGGATGAAAAAAAAATTTCTCATTTAAAGGCTTCAATTTGCATAAAATAGAACAAGACTGCTATTGTCATCAAGAAGGTGAAATGTATGATCTTTCAGAATGGAAAATCTGTATTTCTTTATTCACTCTTCTTACACAAGGAACTGTAGGATGATCCAAAGAATCATCCTGAACAGAAAAAAAGGCCAGAGAAATATTGTGCTCTGCCCATTAGGAAACAAAAACCTCAAAAACACAGGAAAAAAAAAATTTAATGTAAAAATCACCCTTCAGTGATTTGCACAATTCCTTGTTGCTTATTCCAATGGTATTGAGCTTCCTGCGTAAATATTTTGCATGTATATAAAACACTCCTGCTACACCTCCTGTGGGTTTTGATACGTTCTGTCTGCAGGGTACAAGGCCATTTCAGGTCAAAGACCACGCACTAACAATAAACTTACCTGATTCCCCAGTAGAAACATGATTCATGTAGGTCTTTCATCAAACAGCTTGCACGTTTAAAAGGCTCAAATTTAGAGATGAAGCCTTTCAAGTGCATTTTTGCCAACAAATATTCTTTGTAGGGCTGACACTAGTTCTAACTTTTAGGAAAAGATGTGAAAATCAAAATATGACTAAAGAATTGGGTTCAAGAGGGAACTGCACCTTTTTAGTCATAGATTTTAACTGATTTATAATTAGATGGATATGTTACTGTCATTAGCTACACCTCAGCTAATATTCTTGAATGTTACAAATGTACCACACAGCAAAACACTCTAAATTCCACTGTATTTGTTATGCTATAAATCTTAATATAGTATTAAATTTTCCTTGCCTTATGTGGCTGCATAGCATCAAAATTTTATTTATTGATTAGTTGCTTTAATATTATTAAATTTAAACAATAATTCAATTATTTCTGTGATGCTGAACACCAAGCTGCTTGGCTACTATGCTTACCACAGGTCTTAACTCATGAGAGAGAGTCACACCTTGTATGAATGTACTGATGGATTTGGTCCTCAAGTCACAAGGCAAGACCCTCCCCACCTTTTCCAGGAAAACCAACACTTGGCATTTAAAGGAGTGAACAGTAACTACCCACATTATTTTTAAGTTTTCAAGAAAGCCACGCTGTAATTCAGTATGACAGATAAGTGAAAAGAGCCCTGGGTTTTTTTTTCATTTTTCTCCTGCACTCAGCCACTTACTTATGACCTTCTAAGATGCTGAATGTATAAAAGATGAAAATTATGTGTGAGAAACAGCCTGGTCTCTGGACAAACACAACCCTTCAGCTGGCTCATGTGCTGGTGCAAGCTTCTGTCTCCCACCTCCCTGTGCATGTCTAACCTAACCAAACACAGGGCAGCCAGAATAAACAAGTCCTGCCTGAGGAGGATGCCAGCAGCACCATCCCAGTGCCAGCTTCCTAAAAGCTACTCCAAAGAGAGGCTCTCAACAGATGTGGCACCAAGATGCCCGCTCAGCCACCTGACCTCCTGCACGGTATTTTCATAAATATGCTCTTGTGTTTAATGCAAACAACACAAGGGCTCAGCAAGCCCTTGGGGCAACTCTCAGCCTTCCTTTTCCTCTTCACAGAGCTACTCTGATTTGCACATGGTTGGATGCTTTGCTTCTGCAATGAAACTTACACCACCCTCACATGAACAATTACTCTTTTCTGGATTATTCCCATTTTCAACACAGCTTAAACACCCTCCCCAGATTTCTAAGAAGGATGTAGGGAAGTGGGTCAGGACTGCATGTTTTCTACTGATTTTTTTTTTCTCCTCAGATGAGTTTCTAGTTTAAACGCATACAGATTCCAACCAAGATCTATAAATCTCTTAACAAAAACTGTCAGAACAAGATTTATGAAAATGCTCTACCCCTGGTGCTCTCTAACCCAATTAAAAACTCCTCACGGATTGTTTTGTTTCAAAATACCACCAGTCTAAAAATACTATTGTAAACAAACAGCAGTGACCCACAGATCTTTAGCTAGGAATAGGTACAGAGTATTTATCTAAGTGAATTGAGATGAAATGCAATATAAGTTCTTGTTTAATTTTGACAGGAAAAAAAATGTATAGTTTTTGTTGGGTGGTTGATTTTTTCTTCCCCTCTCAGGATACACAGCTTGTTCAAAGACATCCACAAATGCCTCAGGCCAGAAATGACAGTGCCAGAGTTTCTCCTATGCTCAGAATGTATGTCACAACAAAATATATTTCATTTATCCATCATAAATATTTATTTATCTATGGTGCAAAAGCACAAGTTTGACTTTCATAATTTTTTGTTTCAATTGCCAGACATGTTAAGCCATCTCTCTCTGGCTTACTTTTCTAGTGTGTTTTTTGTTTTGTTCTGCTTTTGTCAGGCATGACACACTTGAGTCAAATTACATATATTCCGATTACAAATTTATTAACAACTCTGTTAAGCTTTAATAACAGTTCTCTCACTAAATGGTTACCATTATAAAGGTCTTACCTCAAAAATTTCAAAGCCATAGATGTCCAGCACCCCCATTACCTTCTTTCTCACTTTTGTTTGTGCCTTAAACAAAATTAAACATTGAATCATTCATCTGCACATTGCATACTTGGGATGCAAGAAAATGAATGTATCTCATAAGTAGACTGTCAAATACTGTAAAACTAAAATATTAAGTATGATTTCCCAAAATACACTTAATGTGAATATATTTATATGCTTAAAGAGCAGAGAGCAATTTGTTGAACTGTGATATGGTTATTTGTGTGTAACAGTGTACAGCCAGGAGAAATGAAATTTGCAAATACAGTTTTACTGTCCACTTTAATTTAAAGGATTTCTATTGATTTTTTTTTATTATTTTTTTTTTTTCCAAGCACAAAACAACAATACCTTAATGCTCTCATTAATCCTGGTAACAAGCCAGGAGAACAGCCGACTGTATAAATTCTTAGCCAGAGCATCACGGGCATAATAGGCCTAAAGAGAAGAAAGAAGAAAAACATTATAAACTTTTTATAAATGTTTTATAAAAAAACATTTTCCTGCTGCTGGCATGTCTTAAAGGTGCTATGAACTGAGTAAAACCAGCACAGGGAGCACTTGCTCTGCCCTCCTGGCCACAGGCTGGTTGGAAGAGCATCCACAACCAGGGCACTCCAGCTCGATTCCTGCTCTTCCAGCTGCTCACTGAAGACTCACATCCCCCATCCCAATCCCAGGCAAAGGGACTGGAGCAGCTGCAGCTGGAGAAGCCACGTTCCTGCTAGCCTGAGCTGATGAGACACAGGTGGCAACCAGCCTGGCTCTGCAGCATTATGGGGAGATGAATTCACACTGGCAGAAAAGGTTTTTCAGCAGCCCGGGGCCTACAACTCACATAGAATTACATTTCCTAAATGGAAACAGTCTGCCACAGCACTTGCAACATGTGCTTTGTGCAGGACTGCTTGGTTTTTCATTCTCTGCAACATTTGCCTATCCCTCATCTTTTGGAGGTAATTCACACACAAAACCAAAGCACCCCCTATCTCTTAACATTTAGAAACCAAATGAACAAAAAACACACTTATGCTTGTGATTTATTCAGTGCAGCCTTTTAGCTGTAGTTTTTATCAGGGTACTTATGATTTAGTCACGCAGAATAAAATTGCTATTTAAAATTATTCTTGCCTTTTAAATCAGGACCTCTTTTTACCTGAGCCACATTGAGTGTTGTTGAAACTTTCTCTTGTTTGGCCTCAACTGTCCGGAAGCTGAAAGCTCTCTCCAGTACAGACTGGTCTATACCTGTCAACTCACAGATTTCCTTGAGTTCTAGCAAGAAAAAGCAAACTGTAAATACAATGAACCCTTTCTTATTATTGCCTTTTCTTCCCCAAAACTACCAGCTTTTAAAAAGTGTGATATTCCCCCAAAATGCTCTGCAACAGAAGTGTTCCCCTTTCGCGCTCTCTCCCCACCACCCCGCCAAGCAAAGTTTTTAAAAATATGCACAAAGCAAGGAAACAGAGCTACTGGTTTTGAAAGCACTTTCTATCCACTTATTTTTGAGAAGAAACTTTCCCTCCATTTATAGCAGACTATTTTTCATAATGAAAAGCTTTCAGATGAAAATGAACTTTCAAAATACATCAGCTGCAAAAATATCACCAAACGAATCTGACACTAAAGACAGAGATACTGCAAAAGAACAAAAATCCTACACTGCAGAAAAAACAAGCAGCTTCATAAAGGCACAGGACCATTTAACATTTTAGAATAAAGTGCTAATAAAGTGGGGAGAAAAAAAATAATAATTTTTGGAATTTCAAACAGAATGATTGAAATTGCCCAGAATGCAGCCCATAGCTGCCTGAGGATGAGCTCTGGAAACAGTCTAATTTAATTCATATGTAAGGATATTGTATGTCTGCAGAAACAACAAAATTAATAATGACTTCAGACAAATTAGTGGCTTTCCTCCCATCACTAATCTCATCTTACCATTTTTATCTTTGATTTTACTTTCATCTAGGCCATTTGCACGAGATTCAGGCTTAAATTCGATATTTCCCAATTTCAGAACGGCTGCCACTACTTCAAAAATCGACTGTGTTTCATGATCCATAAACCCAACAATCTGCATTGCATTCTGGAAAGGGGACAAATAAAATTATAAGATAAAAGCATCTACATTTAAACAGATCATACTTGAAAAATCCCCCATTTATCTGCCTTAATTACAAATGGTTTATGAACACTTCTGCTACTGAAAGTACATGCTATAATTAGTATGCTAAGTAAGTTTTTTAATACACAGGAGGTGTGAAAATGGAGCTGGCATTCGGTCCAGTCCATTCCTAGGACTCATTCAATATTTGGGTTTCTGAAACGCTGTACTTTTTTTAGCCACTTAATTTAGTTTGTAACCCAACCCAAATTTTCCCAGTCAGATGAACAGGTACTCCTGTCTTATCAGAGCAGTCACTTTTAGAATCCATATTTGCATACACTGGGTAACAAGGTCCTGTATTCATCTTGTTCCTGAGTACAACCAAACGAAAACATGACAGCAAATCATCTTGAGAATCATCCCAGTCCTCTTTTTCTTTCCTCTTGGACAGCATCACCTAGTCCCTAGGGCTCAGTCACTGTTGTCCTAAGCCACTACAAAGTATAACTTCTCCCAGGATTTGACCAAAGCATCTGGGCTTTTTTTTACCTCTTCTTTTGCTTTCTTTTTGCTTGTTTGTTTGGGAGACATTTTTTTGGGTTTTTTTAATTCTTTTTTTTTTGTATTCCTGTAAGAATACTCCAGAAACTTGATCCTATTTCCTAGCTGTATCTACATTTCCCTGTGCAAACACGCTCTATCCCAGCATGAAGAGTGCCAGCACTCAGAAAAGATGGCACTCCCAGCCCAGCCCTGCATGAACAGACAGCCCAAGGACCATAAGAATCCTGCAGTGCTGTTGAGTGCACAACCAGCCCCTGCTCCTTCTTACCCTGACTGTTCTGAAGTTTGAAGCATCATCCACTCCATTCACTCTGGCAGAATCAAGGCCCAGGTAGTTGTATCTGCTGAAGTCCCTCTCCAGCTTGAGTTTGCCTAACAAATCAAATAAAAATGTCATTAGTAATAGCACTCTTGTTTGTAGCAATTTTATCCCAGAATCAATATTGTCAGGAATAGGTTGTTATTACTGGATGTTCTTCAAGGATCTTCTAATTGTTGGCCTTCTGAATCTGTTTTTAAATTTGTTTAAAATTCATTGCTAAGCCAATTCTGACTCAGGTATCTGGATAATATCAAAGCATATGTGGACTTCACATATTACCAATGACACTACCACCAATAATTTGAAAAATGAGGCCATATCACACTTCCCACAAAATATTATGTATGTGGAATAGCACATTAAGTATAAAGAAAACTCATATCTGAACATGGCACAAGAGCAATACTCACAGAGAAACTCTTCCGATGCACCAGACAGGATCTGATAGAAAATGTGGAAGTTTCTTTCACCCCTTGGCTGCTTCACAACACGAGACTTCTCTAGCAGATCTAAACAAACAAACAAAAATCTCACAGGTCAGGGACAGACTGCTGGAGCAGAACCCTTTAAAATGAATATGACCCTCCATCATTTCCTACTTCATTGCTTTATATCACCATCAGCAAACCAGAAGATGGTTGGTATGAACCTTATCCTAGTATATCATGCATCTCAAGTATTTCTTTGAGCTAGGGGCAAGCCCAGTGCTCTGGTAAAGGCTGCAGTCTATGAGCTGCAAAGAGAATTCAGGACAGGGAGCCAATGTGCTCCAAAAATGTTAACTGATTTACAGTACCACGACCAAATTAAGATTTGGAGAGGATAACTCTGTGGGTGAAAGTTTGAAGAGAGGCAAAATGTTACCAGGCTAAGTGGAATGAAAGATGGGTAAATGAAAAGGAGAGACCTAAAAAAGAAAGCATTTAAAACAAACAATCTTGCAGCACTTTGTGATCCTCAGGTGTATCAGACTATGAAATAATTCCCAGTGGGGCTGACAGAAGCTGATATACTTAAACCAAAATGGAAAAGCAGCACTTTGAAAAGCATCACTGCACTGATGGAGTAGCTTGACAGGAAGACTGCTCTCAGCGACAGACACGTTCCTAAGCCTTGCCCACGAGGACAGGAATCCAGGCAGGCAGCATAAGCAGACTGACTTGTAACACCTTGCAACCACTTCAGACTCAACATCATATTTACCACAGAGGTGACAATTCAAAGCTTGTTCAGCCTGCACTGCACTGGAAGGCTGTGGTTCACAGCACTCCAGAAGGAAGAGGAATGCAATAAGAGAACAATGTAGACAGGTATCAGTGTGACCTGCTGGTTTTGTACAAAACTTATGCTTTTTTCTTCATTTCTCAGTAGCACAACTACATTTTTCCAGATAGCAAACACGTAATTCCCATGTGTTTCTCTTAAGCTACATATATTCAGTGACATGGAGACAGAGACATTCAATGCCTCATTCCAAGCACACAGCAAAGGAACTTGTGTAATTTTGTGGGTGAAAGTTACTTTAGAGCCTTCAGAAGGGTCTTTATTTCCTATTCCATTAGAAGGGAGGTAATTGCAGTGGGCAGCACAGGCACTGTATTTCTGCCTGTAGCCAGCAGAAATAGAAATGCATCTGCACTCCTCTGCTCATGGAGGGATCCCTGGGACAGATCCACCCTGCTCTGGCTAAGACCTACACAAGTCTTCCGAGTCCCTCCTCCTAAAGCTCCCTCGCTAAACTGCAGCAAGTCAGGTTCAAAAATTACTTTCTGCTCCAATAATTAGCCAGTGACAACACTGACAAAATTCAGACAGTATTATTAATCTTGATTGGCTAATAGTAGGACAAGTTCCAAGTATTTACAGGCTGAGAGTGGCTGATCCCCCCCATCCAGGTGTTAATATATGGGCTGGGAAAGGCAAGGTGAGCAGCAGGCAGTTCAGAGCTGTGCTGGCTGTGAAGGTTCTCCAGGCAAGTGTTGGAACAGATTGCAGCCAAATTTAATCTCAAAAAAATAAACAACTTCAGCTCCCACAGTGGCTACACACACTCCAGGAAATGGCTGTATTCTCAAAGGATATTGAAGCAATGTGGTTTGGCTTATTTGGGTTTAAAAATATTCTACCTATAAATTTACTCAAATGCTGTCATAAAAGCCCAGCTACACATCCTGGCAAAATATTGTATGTAAGCCTTCTAATTATATGCATGCCTACAGCAGATTTAAAAAACAGGTTCCTGAATGTATGTAAAATTAGTTATGTTTAGGAGGATAATTGTTTTTTTCACCAGTTTTTCTCATTTATGTACTTTCAGAAGCAGCAAAGTTATCCAATTCACAGTTTTCAAAAGTCCTAACATTGCCTATTCTGTCAGCCTTCATAATTGAGGAAAAAAGCAGTCACTGTCAGAAAATCAGGTATTTTCCCTAACAAAGCAGCTGCTGCCAATTATTTTTCAAACCTGTGTTCATTGGGGCTTTTTTCCCTTTTCTTTCTGTTGACATGCAGAGTGAAATCAGACTTGTAGGACAGATCCAGACCATCTGCCCACTTCTTCAGAAAACTTCTTCCCTCTGTTTGCCCTAATTAGCATTTTAATGAATCAACCACATATATTTTTCTTAATGCACCCACTCACTGCACTGCCAGTAGCTTTTGTGTTAACCCCAGCCCAATTGCCAGGTCTGTGGCTCCAGCACTCAGAGGAAAGACAAAGCTGCACCTCCGACTGCTGCACGTGGCCCCTCGGTGATGGTGTTGACAGTGTGCACAGATGGTGCTCATCTATGTGAAAATCCACAGAACCAAAAACCCCCAAACTCTCTCTGCATTGCATTTTGCTACGTTGTCAATGTGAATTATGTATAGGGACTGCACAGAATTGTCAGGAGAGCACATACAGAACTACGTATGTGTTTATGGGTTAGGAATTGTTACTGCATTATCTAACAGCGCTTCTGCTGCAATGGGAATGTTTCACTTGTTGCATGCACCAAAGCAACAGGAAAAATTAAATTGCCTTGGAAAAGTTCAACCTTGGAAACATTTCTGTCAGAACACCCATCAATTCAGATGACTCAAAATCTAGCTACAGGCCTCAGGTCCTGAAGATTTTTTTATTATTCCTAGATATCACTGTTTAAATACAAGAGATCTGTGCAAGCACTCTGCTAAACAATTTGACTTAACATAAAAGGAAGAAAAAATAAAAGATTCTGAATACTTCTGCAAAGTAACACATAACTTTACACAATTTATTTTGGTTACTTGACCCATGAACTCGAGTGATGCAGAAAAATTTAGGATATTTGTATTTCTCTAAATATACTAGAAACGAAATCAACATTCAAGAAAGGAGTAAGTAAACAGTAAAACAAACAAAAAAAATGACACTACCTTGGTACATTCTAAATCATCCAGAAGTTTATTTTAGTCATACTCTCTTCAGCTGGCCATTACCAAGGAGCCTTTTAGCTGCTCTACAGCCACGTTACATTTTCTCTTTTCCTACCTTGATTATCTAGCTCTCATCATAAAAAGTCACTGATTAAAAAGTTTCTCATTAACTTTTCCCTATTATTCCCACCAAGTTCATAGTAATGTTCTCTTGGATAAACTGATCCATAATTGTGTCAAACTACTAAATGGGCAGTATGAGCATTGACAATGACTACATAATTTTAAGTGTTAAATCTTGATTGCTCAAGTGATGAATGATGTTTAAAAATGAGCTAATCAAAATGTTTAATATAGTTTGTAGTTTGTTTTCTCAAACTCTTCCTAGTTTAGGCAAAACCATTGCCTAAATGGTAGCAAATGTGCTAAGAGGAACACCAAGGGAGATGTTGCAACAAGTGAAGATTTAAAACAGAAACAAAAAGAAAACCAACAAGAATGGGTATCTCTTCCCATAATGTCTAATTGTCCAGTTTGTGCAATATTCCCCTAAGCAAAGGAGCTTTCCAACAGCAATCACGTAACAACTCAGACTGTCGATTTCTCAGTAAGTGAGTAATTACTTTTGATTTTTAAAATGAACGAACAAGCTGTAAAAAAGAATAAATTGCAAAGTTATCACTTTGCTAGCTTAAAAAAAAAATTGTTGCCTTAGATAAACATCATAGATTTCTTTCATACTGTTGTTGGAAAAGATGGCAAAACAGGGCCCTTTCTTAATCTCCTGTTATTTGGACTTTAAAGATATTTTGATGATTGAAAATGGCTTTCCCAGATCAGGCATTGCATATCCTTTACTTCACAACCTGCACCAATGTTGTCTCCTAGTTAATCATTACATCACTGAAGGGCTTTGGCAGACTAGGAAAGATCACCTAATGCTAAAATCCAGGTATTTTTCAGCAGGAAATTCCAGGTGAAACATGAAAATTTAAGACTTACAGAAATTCTGGGAAAGATATTGGAAGATCCATGCTTTTCAAAAGGTCTAAATGATTGTAAGTGTGAAACATTTTGAGTGTGAAACATTTTGTACTGTGCAAAACCCCTTCAGCCATCAAATTTAGCGTACACAAAACTAATGAATCAAGTGTGCACACAAACACTGCCTTAAGTATGAAACAGATGCAACATCTGTGGACAAAGAGTCATATTTTAGAGCTGAAAAAAGCTGTTGCAATTAGCACCTATTACTTCAAAACCAAATGCACCTATTTTTATATATGTGTTAGTCTGTAATTACAGGTGGAAAAGAAACTACCATTCTCCTCTCTCTCACCCTCACTAACAAAGTAGTTATAATAAAAAACTAAGAAGTGTATTGACCTTTTCTGTAATTTATTTCCACAGTATTACACCCAGCTGAAAGCAACACTCCAACACTGCCTTTACTCATAAATGCTCTGAGAAAAAAGCCCTCTGAGTGCACAAGTGCTGACAGGACTGTCCACTGCAACAGAGCAAATACACCTCAGACCCGATTCAGAGAGAGAAAATGAAAATGCCATTTTCCTGTTTGCAGGTGCCCTGTAAAGCAGCAGCACACCTTTAAGTAGGGACTGATGTTTGCTGCTCAGCAGTGATGGGATGCCTACAGTCCCACGTGCCAACACAGCAAGGGTCTCGGGTTTAGCAATGCCCACAGGAGTAGTTTGGGTTTCCTAAGCCCAGGCACATGAAAGAGGTCACCTGTGAATGGATGTGCTGGCTGGCAGCTGGCACCAGGACCCAGCACCTTATGTGGGCTCCAGCATCTCCCACCCATTAGGAAAATGAGCTGGGATCTTCACAGAAAGCTTACAAAAAGGCAGGACAAACAGCTCGGGCTTACAGCACACCTCAGTCAGCCTTCTTCACCCTCCTACTCACCCCCACACCTGCCGGCAGTGATCAAACAAATGCAACAAATGTTGCCTTGAACTCCAAGGGGAAAAAAAATCCTGACTGAAGAAAATACTTAAAGTTTGCATAAATCACAATAATTTCAAATTCTCTATTCCTAATTTCTTTTCATGACTGTTCATGATGATGTAGCAGTATATCAATTTCCTTGGAAACCAGCACAGTTGGAAGATCTGAGCTGCCATGTAATGTAGATGAAATGAGACTGCACAGATTTTACACTGTTCAAACACAACATTATCTTCACTTTGGGTACATACCAGTTCTGAATTTATAGATGCCACAAATCCCTTCCAGTTCATTATTTCCATTTTGATTTTACTCAAAAGGTTTACCCTTCTGTTTATGGCACATTAAACATTTAGGATCTGTCAGCTGGACATTTCCACTGGCTGCAAACTGCACAGGCAGAAAAGCAGCGTGCTCTGTCATGATAATTTCACCCTCTAACTCCATCCTATGCCAGGTTCTCTCCTCGGTTAATCCCTTTCATTAAGAAGCAGGAGCTCACTGAAGGGCAGCAGGATGTTTGGAAATGTTTGGAAATCAAGCTTGTCAGAAAACTACTGACGTTTAACTAAAGAATTATGATGTCATCTTCAGACCACAGACAGTCAGAAATCAAAGAATATTTATTAACATTTTCATAATCATACCTTCCCTTTTAAGGATAGGAAACTTCAGCACTACTTGACTTCATGTTTGATGATTTAGGAAGACAAATTCTGATTTTGATTTAAACCAGAGTAAATTCTGAGGGGTGTAGAAGAATTTAGGCCCCCAATATCTTCAGAATGATGATGCCTCACAGAAAAAGAAATGTTTGTGTTGCAATGCAATGCTGCAGATTTGTGGAAAAGATCTAAGGCAACACAACCAAATTGCTTTGAAAATGCAGAGAACTTAAAATCTCTTTTAAAGAGAGATGGATGCACTACCAAATTTTGCAAACATTTAATCAAAGACGAGCTATATTAACATGCTGCTACAGGAACTCAATATTTGCCTGTGACAGACCCTGCCAAGGATGAGGCGTTTCATAGTTCAACAAGTAACATCTTTTCCACAACAGGGCTTACACATCAGGTCTTTATTCTTAAATTGACATTAATCTCCTTGCTATTATATATTTATTATATGTGACAAGACAGAAAGAATGCCTAAAATAGGCATATTTTAGAAAGGTCCAAAAATATGTCTGCCCTTTGATACATATGTCATCACATCATTGCAATTACATGTAATGTTATAATTACACCATGCAGAGATTTATGGGGCAGATAAACTACAGAGCAACTATTTGGATCGTCTTTTGATATGACACAATATTTTAATTACATGACTCAGTGCAGTACTTTCAAAGACAGACTGCTAAATGTCCACTCTCACAAAGGAGGGTTCATTTTTATGTATCTATTTTGAATGTGAAATAAAAAGAAACAAATAACAGCCATTTAAAACCTTTTTCTTCATATTTAATTATTATGACTATATTAAGTTTGTCCTGTAATTTTGTCAACTGCCAAATGTCAAAGCTCATTGATAGCCATAAACACTTATATAAAGACTAATTTGAGTTTCAAGATCTACTCTGTTACAAAAATCAGGCTCTTCAGGCACAGTTCCAAAAGGTGACCTGGTCCAGAAAAAATGTCTGCCCTCTGAAAAAAGCCAAAACCTACATTTATGTGCAACATTCCTTACAGTGTTTTTAAAATGCTTATGTTATATATGGTGAGTACAGTTCACCTTGGGTGAGTCTCAATATTTCACAACCAGTAAAATGCCAGTGGTGTCAAAAGTCACATCTTTAGAAGCAGCAATGAATTTGGCTGAGTGGAGAAGTCAAGGCTAGGTCAGTGACACCTAGTATAGTCACTCACTGCCCTCTTCCTCCCCTTTTAAAAATAAGAAAACCAAACAAATATGGCTTTATATAGTACTGAGGAGGAATTTGTTTCAAAAGCTGCACTTAAACCCTCAAAAGAAAAGCAAGTCAAAGCATTCTGGGCTGCCATTCAGCTCCCAGCCTTTTCCTTCCCAACAGAGAGCTGGCCAGAATTCCTGAATTGCTACAGGTGTCACAAAACAAGCTCCAAGGCCACCTTTGCCTCGCTAAGCTCAAGAGCTGTTCATCCTCTCTCATTATAAACCTTTTCCTACACTGTGAAGTGGATAAATTCATGCAGATGGCTTTGGTTCCAAGTAAACATACTCATCTCATGGTGATCTCCAGCACACCCTTGCCAGTTACAGGACAGCATCTGCCATAAATACATGACCCATCAAACCCAGTAACACAACAGATTCCAGGGATTCAAGAATCAAAAATACCCTCAGATATTCATATGCATCTGCCACCAGCCTCAGAGACAATGTACAGACTCACACACACAACTCAGTGCCTTTGAAACAACACAGTAAATTCAATATTCATGCTTACTTCTTCAAGTCTGTTTTCACTTACTCTAAGGTACATTATTCAGCACCACAACAGCTATAAAATTAAAAAGCAGAATTTATCACATGATGGAGAGAGATTCTATTAAACTAACATAGCTGATCTTTTCAATAATTTAACCCTCTTCCTTTCTATACAAAACATTTTAATCTGTGAATATGCTGATACCAAAAGTAATACTCACAGTTGCTTATAACTCCCCCAAGTGGGTCACCCTTGAAATCAAACTCGATATCCATGTATTTTCCCTGTGAAAGCAACAGATTTTAAGATTAACATTTCTGTTTAAGAAAAACTGCTCAAGACATTAAGTTAGTTGGTTGGGAGGTTAGAAGAGTGTTCTGACAAACTCCTGACATATTTTTGAAAAACAGAAAATTATTCAAATCTTCTGAGACATTATCACAGCCAGGGATTTTTATGAAAACAGCTTTAATTGGGTCTGTAAAGCAGCCCAGTAACTTGCTCAGTTTCTGAGGTTCTATGAAGAAAATGCACATTATACAAACTTCCATCGGAGCGTCAAGAACACCAAACAATCCCTGTAGCCATTTAGGTATTGCCATGCTTATTTCCTGAAGGATGCAGGAAGAAATTATCTTGCAGGCAGCCTTCTTTTCTCACTGGGAGCTCTCAGAGCGCTGAAGGCGGCTGAAGGAGAGCCACTCAGTCTGGCCCGAAGCAGCGGCTGGCAGCAAACGCTGCTCGTAATCGCGGGACGTCTGTCCCTGAGCGTGTGCCTGCCTTGTAAAAGTGATGGATTCTTCCCGCTGAACTCTTTCCCTTGTAACTCAGGAGACCAGAGGCAACAATTCATGGGCAGCACAAGCGATTTCAATCCCAGCCGCGCTGGCGCAGCGCGTTTCCTTGACTTCTGCTTGACTTTTCCACATCAGAGGAGATCACTCCGGTCTTTGGATCGTTTTAATTTATTTGACAAGTGCTTAATGTAGTAACAGCTACATTTAAGAGTGACAAAAAGGACAGACTGCGCAGGAAAGGCAAAAGCGGTGCTGCTCGTATTGGCAAGGGAGTTAAGGAAGATAAAAGGTGCTGGTAGTAATTCAGCCAAATTCCACCCTCTGGCACAAACTTAACAGAGGACACTGCTCACTGTCAGGGAGGTGAGGCACTGCAACAGGCTGCCCAGAGAAGCAGGGCAGGCTCAGGGCTCTGAGCAACCTGGTCCAGTGGAAGGTGTCCCTGCCCACAGCAGGGGGTTGGAATGAGATGGTCTTTAATGCCCTTACAAACCCAAATCTAAGATTCTAAGACAAAAACAGCACCTTGAAAATCCTTATATTTATACTTATTCACCACAGTTAGGAAGAGATGGGGTTTTCTTTATTTTTCTATTTTACTTTTTATTACAGAACATAAAAACCAAGCACTTTACACTGACTCACTTTAAGATACTTTCTAATTTACTGGGTATTTTGTCAAGATTGGCTTGACTCTACTTAAACTCTATTTTCCTTCCTGTACTGCCTTGTTCAAGGTTAATTCTGAGCTGATTCAAATTTCAGAAATAAAAAAATTAAATCAGATAATTAAATTTTAATTTCCCAAGGACTGGGACAGCTGGGTGTTTCCAAAAGTATTTTTAGCTCAGTGTTTATAAGCAAGGACTTGAAAGGCAAAATAGCTGTTAGTTCTACTTTGTCCTGGAAAGACTTATGGGCTGTCTGCTCATCATTTCTGTAGTGTCATGTCTGATAATTGCAGTCTTCCTATCCTTTCTATTAAAAAAATAAATTAAAAAAAAACTCTACAGGTGCCCCAAATTTTGGTCTTGCCCTTGTGATGAAGATTTGCTCTGTTCACAATCAGAGGCAATGAGATGCAGAAGGAACATTCACAGACATGTGGAACATCATCAACTCTTGAGAATTATAAGGCAAGAGGAGGAAATCTCTCAAGTGGAAAAAAAAGCCACTCTCCAGTCTCACAATGTCCAGCACTTTTACCCATTTGCCTTAACTCACAACACACCATTCTCCCAGTGTATCGATTTCCCTCCTCTTGTCAACTTCACACATCTCACAATATTACTCTTCTGGACACAAGTGAGCAAATGACAGAGTTGTATTCAGCTTTCTGATTTTAGCAGGAGAAACTATGGTAAGTACTCACACTTCTGAACCTCTCAACTCTAGCATCAACTTTTCTGGTTTTTTAGCTGTCAGTTCTGATAATTTCTCATTCAGATTCATGCCCAAAAAAGGTTAAATTCAACCAGTTGATTATAAAGAATTTAAGCAAAAAAAAAAAAAAACATTACAAATGTTCATATTAAAATTAAAATTGAAAACACATTTTGAAACATTACGGAAAGCAAATGGGAATCTAAAGTAGTAATCTTAACCAAAAAAAAATACATATGAATGGAAAACAAGATCACATGGAAAGCTCTACTTGCTAAGCAGACCAGTTGCTGGACACATGGTCTCTGACACTAAAGCCATCAGTGCCAGAAAATTAAAGAATCCAGCTGCACTCTAATTATGTTTTCATCCAATCACAGGCTGCCATATCCTAATTTTGTTTTTCTTTTTTAGCCTCTGCTTCAATATTCAATTGAACTCTATGCCCATATCAGAAACCAACAAGATTTCTGGCAAGGAGCTGAAATGTCTTTTAAGAGGTATCTCTAATAGTGCCCTACTAACATACTGGAGAGGGAGAACATGCTCCTGTGTACAAAATGAAATACTGATCGCTGCTGAAGCTGGTTACCTTCTTCAAGCACCACGGTCCTCAGACAGCTACAACAAAGCTCCCCAGATTATTCCTTCCCTCTTTATGGATGCCTTGATGGTTGATACATGGTAAAACAGAAATAGCCAACAGCACAGCACACTCCTCAAAAACGACTGAAGAAAATACTTACAAATCTAGAGGAGTTGTCATTCCGCACAGTTTTGGCATTTCCAAAAGCTGGTGAAAGAGAAAAACAAATACAACAAGCAAATCTATCAGTAAAAAAAAAATATTTAAATGCTAAAATACCTAGGTCTGCTTATATATTTAAAGGAACTACAGACTTCTGAGAAACAATGCCCTGTTCATTGTATGGGCATCAGTCACTGGGGACAGAATGTGACAGACATGATCACAAATTACAAGAACCTACAGAAGTCCAAAGAAGCTGTGTCTCAACACTTGCCCTGTTTATAAAAGCTAAAGAAAAACAAGAGGAAATGGCTCCACAACAAAACTGTACCCACATTAAGCATGTATCTTTGGGGTTGGAATCAACAAATTCATAATTTTATTATCCAGATAATTTTAAATCCAGGAAATACTTCTTCCTCTTAATTTCAGAAAAATGTGCCCTAGTTCCCAGAATATGTTAAAAGCTGGAGGCCAGAAGTGAGGAAATTACAGAATGACACTTGAATGTCAATCAGCTGAAATCAGTCAGATTTACAATGAAAGTCTGTCTTCAGTTTGACCTAAACTAACTTTCTGAAAAGCTTGGTTCAAATTTCTTTAGCTCAAGTTTTATGACAATGAAAATTCTATGAGAAAGGACTTCCCAGGGCTGCATTCAGATGGACAGACACCATCTTAGAGCATGGACAAGAACTCAGACTGGAGGACAATTCAAGCTCTAAAACTCACACATTGTCAAAGCACATGGAGTCAAACAGGAGTGTCCCCTCCATCATTAGGCACAGCACTTCTACTTCCAACAAGAGAATTTATTTATCCCAGTATTTATTTAAATAGCATATATATATATATATATATATTTGAAGTTCAAGTCAAGTCAATGTTTTTTGGACAGAAATAAATACATGCCTTTAGGTTTCCACAAACTTGCATGAGTGGACTTATTCTTGACCAAGAACTAGAGCCAAAATGAAAAGTTTGTTGATCCTAAAGGCCGGGATAAGTGAAAGAATTGTTTTTAAAATCTTTATGCCCTGCAATAAATCATCTTTTCAACAACCAAATCTCTGAACTGCATTTTCTTAAACACAGTGCTGAACAGTAAAGTCATTTATAACTGCATGGAGTCAAGCACAAATGTTCCATTATAAAGCATGAGACACATTCCTTGGTTTTCCTAAAGTTCATTGTTTCTAAAAGTTAATTTACAGTAGCAACTGTAGTTTAATAAAAATAATCCCATAAAATAAATTATGCATATGTAACATTTATGTCATTTTCTTGCACTGCAATTTGACTGAAACAGAACTACATAACCAAAGAAAAATAAATCTAACCACAAATGCTTCATTTGTCTAAAACCTGTATAAGCAGCCATGCTTGCTCAGATTTTATTCCTTATGGAACAAGCCAGTGTCCAACCTTCCAAAAAAGCTAAACAGGCATTACCAGCAGATCAAGTAGAACAAACAGTACCTTAAAATGATAATGCAGCCTTCAGTAAGCTTAGCTGATTCCTCTTGCATTAAAACAAAGCTTCACAAACCAACAAGAAATCAAACCCATTTGGCAACCCCTCAGGAACAATTGAGCTTTGGCAAGAAAAGCCTCCATACCCCCCATGCCATTTCTGTCTAGATCTGAAATCTGCTTCCAGAACAGTGATAAAACAGCACAGCTCTTCTCTGTGAACCCAAAACAATGGCAGGTTGCAATCCCCCCATTCAGCTTTAAGGGGAACACACAGCTGATCGTCAAAGAAAGGCTTATCCAGCACTTCTATTATTCTTAAATGTCAACATTTCATCTCCTTTCTTTAAAGTCTTTGCTTACAATTTCTGTTTTGTGGACGAAGATCATGTTTTAACCATCCAGTTCCCCACTGCTCTCTGCTCAATTTCTTGCATTTCCTTTCCTTTTTTTTTTTAACTTTTCCCTCTGTCCTCACTTGCAGAGTCCTTGTCTCCTATAGGCTCCAATTCATCACATATAAGCAAGGCAATAAACATAACGTTGACACACAACAGTCTTTGCAAACACCACATATGATCTGGCCATAATGCAAAATTGCCTTTTGACAACTGACTTTGTCTCAGCACCACAACAGCTTTGTACATTATGGGAAAGACTGAGCCAGGAGTCGACACAATAGATCTAAATAAGTCAATGCTAACCAAGGAACTTGTGAAGGCAATTATTAGATAATGGGACAGAACTGCGAGCTTTGAGGATCATCTATCCTATCTCCAGAAAAAAAAACAAAACCAAAAAGGGAAGATCCTGTTTCTGGCAATGAACATCTTTAAATTAAAATTACTAATTAAAAAAATAAAAGTCTTTAATGGGAGAGCAGGAATGGCAGCTGTCAGGAAGAACAGGCCAATAGTCACCAGACCCAAGAAACAATAAGTCTCAGGGAACAACAGGCATGCATATGGATTGGCTTAGTTTTTTCTAAGATCATTTCTTCACCCTTTTTCTTTCCTAAAAGAGAAATAATGCCTTACAGAACTTGTTTGTTTACTTGAGACTATAACAATATAATTTGGAAGGAAATGAATCAGAGGGATTGAACTGAAGTCAAGTCTTTTGATACAGACAAGCATCATCAAGGCAGGGTTAAGAGAGGGTAAGCCCACTGAGAGCAGCAGGAGGAGGCTGGGAAGTGTGACCTAACTTCCTGAGCTCTTCCTTCATGAGGGAAACCATCTTCTTCCCAAGAAAACCTACACACAACTGAAGAAAATCTTGCAGATGTACTGACATGAAGCATCTCCTATGGTTTTGGACACCAAATAACAATGAAACATCATCAGACACAGTTTTCCAAACCAGCTCAGCTGGAACACCAGCACACCCACACAGCTAATATGCTGGCACATACTCTGTGAGATTCTTACCTTCAAGGACTGGATTTGACTGCAAAAGTTGTTCTTTTACTTGATTAACCTCTGCCCCTTTTCCACACACAGCAGCTACATATGACATGACAAGTTTGCTTGCCTCTGTGGGGGAGAGACAAATAAAACAGTGATAAGCATTGGCAAAAAGACTGTAATATGATTTTACAGACTAAATCTCCATCACATTTTCTCAATGCCAGACAGGAACTGTGAGCACATTCATTTCAGTTTTCACCTGCATTGTTGTACCATCTGGAAATGCAGAAGGAGCATACCCTGCTCTGAAACCCATGCCACTACACCAGCTAATTATCTTGATTTAAATACCAAGAGCCTCTACCCAAGCTAAAAAAAAAGCCACCACTGAAGATACAGCACATTACCTGCTCCTTTTCCATTTAGCCTCAGTAAGAGGTATTCTTCAAGGGAAGAACATTATCCCCTGCTGACACATTGGAAATGTTTTAATCTAGCCTGAAATTAAACAGGCTCAGGCAGTTTCAAGACATAAAATTCAATCAGTTTATATCAGCAGATACACAATAAGTGCAAACACACAACACTTTTATACGTGTAATTACAACTCTAATCTACAAGCAACTGAGTAACTGCAACATCACATAATGTGCTGCAGTCTGGAAGTAAAACCAACAGAGAAAGTGAAGCATTCATTTAAACAATAAAATTAATTTGGAGATGCTTTTAAGAAAGTCTGGAATAATTTTTGTACTCTCGAAGTTGGGTTTATATGAGTGACAATCACCCATGATAGAAGCAAAAATTATATAATCCATCCAAGCCTTAAGTTTTTGCTGGTCAGGAAAAAGCAGCTGGAAAATAATTTTGTTTATAAAGAGTCTGTGATGGCTACTATGATGCAAGACAGTGAAATTTGAGGCAATATCGGCTGATACACAATGTAATTACAAACAGCTGGAAACCCTATCAATTCAAGACTGTGGTCATAAAACAAAATCATTATATTTGTAACAGATCTTCAGAGATCTGTTACAAATTTAAGGGTCTCATTTTGGGAAAGAACTGACAAACGAGATGTTATCCCTTGGATTTTTATTTTTTCCTATTTAACCAAATTTGTTTGTTAGCATTATATCACTATCCCATGCTGTAGAGGAAACTGAGCAAACCTGCCACACAGGAAGCAAGGAGCAAAAACTATAGGTGTGTTCAGAAGGCTCCCATCTCCTTTATTTGTGTCTCAAACCCAGCTCTCATTTTTGACTCTGTTCCCTTCAGAGCTTGGAATTACCAAATTATTTGAAATATTTCCTAAAACAGTCAACATCTTTAAGCACAGGCACTCAATCACTGAGAGAAACATTCATCAAAGCAGAAAAAAAGCTATTATAATAGATTACACACAATGACTTCAATACAGGCTTTGAACATCAGTAAAGGAAAATAAAGGCCCTTTCTCTTATTAGGAACTCTGGCCCAAGAAAGACATCAGGAAGAGAGTTATCACCCTAACATTTCAAAACATTTAAATATACCACTTGTTCTGGTGATGTACCACGTTTTCTTGCCCAATATTACTATCAGTTAACATTAAAAACACACAGAGAAACAAGGACAGAATTGGAAGTAAATAAAAAGACCCAGCTGATGCCAGTTCCGTTTCAGTTCTTCCAGGACAAAAAATGTCAAATATTCTCATTACCAAAAATCTAAAACACAGTTATATAGTGTATCTATACTAAGAAGTTTGTTTCCTTCACTCCAGAAACTTCCTACCCTCTCCTCCCCCTATTTTGTACTTACCTTTATAAAAAAGGAATAATTCATATTATTTCCCATATGGCTATAAAATTACAGAACAGTCAAAATCTCTATACAAATTTAAATCTATTATTTACACATAGAGAGGTTCAACAGCTCAACCTCTGATTCACCCTTCAGATGAATAAATCAATAATAAGTGTACCCCAGTTGTATGAGGTACTTGATAATTCACAGTTTGTGAGGAAATCGAGACATTAAACACCACCAGTGCAGGACTCTTTGCTAAAGTCTGAACTTCTAGACAGTTCTAGACAGACCCTCAAATAGTCATATTAATAAGAACTTGGGTTTTTCAGTCTACACTTCTACTGAACATACTTTCCTGTCATTGAACAGTAAATAAGGATTATATTACATGACTTCCATACCTCTCAATTGGATGCCACTAATCAAAGAGCACCAAAGATGATGCCTACACTTTATATGTACACAAAAGCCTTGGAAAGCAACTTCCTGTTACCTACTTTGAGTCTTGCCCAGAATAAGCGCACAAAGCCCCACATATTCTGAGATGCAAAGGCAAAATCTCTCAAATTACTTGGAAACAGATGTATGCCTTCCTACCCGCTGTCTCTTTTGCAAGTCACCTCTGTTTTAAATTGGTGTCTTTGAAAATAACTGGCTTCTGTCTTTTTTAAGGTCTACCTAAAATGTACTGCAGTTACACAATCCTCACTTGGTTTCTAACCTTCCAGTTTAAAAACTAGCAGTCATTTTCAAGGAAATGTCAGCTTTGCCTAAGAAACTCAGTGTTCTGGCACACAAGCCAATCTTAGCTCTGCAGCTGAGCACAGTGTGCAAAAGGCTGATAAAATTTCCAAAGTAATCAGCTACAGTTATTTATTTTCCTTAGATAAAAAGCATAATCCAGTTTTTAAAGGCATGTATTTATTGAGAGACAAGTGGAAGTATCAAGTCTAGAAAATTCAAGAGCATTCAGTTTTCCATGTCTTCAAGTTTCCCACCAGGACAGCCTAGATGTTTTTTGGCCCTTGCAATACTCCGGGACAAGTCAGCATTGCTTTGGTACAACTCTGGATACTGATGAGGACACTGCACTAACATGACATGGGACTTCAATGTGGTGACAGTGTGAAAAAACACTATTTTACACAAGTCCATAGCTGCAGCAGCAAGTGTGGCAGCACTGACTTTCTGCAATGCCCAGACACAAAGAGTTACTGACATCTCTAAACTCCTATGCACTCCAGCTTCCCTCTGCAAGACTCTGAACAACCCTGAATGGTTTTTAATCAGATCCTCACTGCTCCTTACCTGTTTTCCCAGCTCCACTCTCTCCTGTAATAAGGATGCATTGGTCTTTGTCTTGGTCCCTTAAAGACCTGTAAGCTTCATCAGCCAGAGCAAAGCTGCAAAGAAAGAAAGAGACAATTGAGAATAAGGAAAAAAAAACAAAACAAAACAAAAACCCTACCAAACACTGACAGTAATTAAAATCTGACCTTCACACACCTAGGGAGAAGAAAAAAAAACCAACAAAAAACCAAAGGTCTCCAAGTGTTAATGTTCCATAAGTGGTGAAGCATTCACTTTTCTGAATATAAAGACCCTCTGAAGCAAATGGATACTATTTCTCAGAGGCTTACTTAGACCTTCAGAAACAAGCAAAGAATCTTGAAGTTTTCCTAAAGACAGCCAAGTCAAAACAAAATAATAGAATTTAATGGAAGTGTAGCTATCCTTCTTCATTGAACAAAATGTCATACTCTCCACTGAAAAAATGTCAATGCAACATCAGGGCATGGCTTGTCTGAAGGTATCTCTAAAATAAAGGAAAGAGAACCCTGAATAATAATTACACCATAAGCCACAATTTCTACTCAGTAAGAATAAATCTCACAACCTGAGCATTTTAAGCCTTTGGATAGAGCTGGACTTGTGCATGAATATGAAGAATTATTTCCTACTAACTGTGTTCTTAATCCAATAAGCGTGATGTCATGTAGGGAACCTAAAGAATATAATAAGAACCAACAGATTTCCTGTACCAAAAATGTATTTTCCTGGAGCTCAGGATATCATGACTCTGAAAGTCCTGGGCTGCAGTTTGAATCCAGATGTGCTCTGCTGCCATGTAGCAACATATACTTTGGAGAAATGCAGATGTTTTACTTATATTTAGCTTTCTTTAGTAGTAATTTTAAGACATAATAAAGATTGTCTTTCAACTGCACTTTTCAATTAATGGAATGAGGTACTCTGGAAACTAAGCATTTTCCCTTGGAAAAACTTAAACAAGCAGTATCTGAAAAAGGACATGAAAACAAAACCCAAATAAAAAGGCACACGTGCATAACCCAATTAAAGAAAAAATATGATATCCAAACACGGCATACTTTTACATGAAATAAACAGATGTTCAACAGACCAAGAGCTTTGTTAGATTACTGCATCTAGTCAGATATTTAGTGTTTATATATACATATCCAAAAATGGATATTGTTTATTATTTACAGCAAACAAACCACGTATGAAAAACAGAAATGAACTCTCAGGTCAACATAAGATGCAGAATCATTGCAGGTTCAATGCACTTTTTAGAAACTTGATCCTTTATTTTACAACAGTTCAGGAGCTTTGCATTCAGCTGATAAAACAAACAGATCATGTATTTGTTTGGGACAACATAGGTATATGGTGCTTTTTATTTTTCCACAGGCATCCACAGCTCCTTTACAAGCAAGAGCAAGCTCTGTCATGACAGCAGTTATGGGGAGCAGGAACTTCACAATGCAAGCAGTGGGAGACACACAGGGCCTCTTCTAGAGGCTCCTATTGCTGCCTTTTGAAAGTTTCAAATATTAAACCTACAAATACTGAAATTAGTCCCAACTTAGAGCTACCACTGTCCCTTAGCTTCAGGCTTCTCTCCCCAAAGAGTTCATGAAGAGCATGACATGTCTGCAATTTATTATCAGGTGCATGTGCAACACCATTTTTTCTACTTCCTCATCCCTCACCTGTATCAGACTCATCTCACATTTGCTTATTTGGGTTTTGGTTTTGTTTTCCTCTTTGGCTTTATGGTCACATCAGTTACCAGCCCAGCCCCCCTGCAAGGGACCCAGGTAACCAAATGAGCGGCATTCTGAAAGATTTGGAAAACAGGGAAATGAAATACCTTGCAGCTCCTTTGCTCCTAAGCAATAACACCCTCCCCTCCCTCTCCAGGGCCTGCCAAGGATGCTCACGCCATGGTTTCCACCCTCTTTGTGTCCCTCCCATCCTCTCTCCTGCTGCACATCTGCCTGCCCAGCTCCATGACCCGCCCAGGGCTCCACCTCTCTCACTGCTTTTCTCCAGCCTGCTTTGTCCAAGGCACTAAATTACCATTCTCCCCTCTGCACAGATGGCTGGACCATCCACTTAACACCCGTGATCAAAGGTCATTAACTCCTTTTGATACGCATCCCACCGAACCCGGAGCAAGACTGATCTCTCAAACCCTAACACCGCTGGCTGATTGAAGCACTTGAACTCAGTAGTTCAGCTGGAGGTGAAAATGTGTTTACGAGAGAGTAGCAGGCTGTAATGTTTTTAGCATTGCAACAAAGTCACATTGTGATGTGGCCAACATGCTGGAGAGCTAGCAAAAAAAATATAAAATATTCTGCTGCTGCTGCTGAGAGACCATGACACAATTTCTGGCACCCATTTTACTGTTTGGAATCCAAACTACAGTAGCAATAACACTTTACCAGACGCTGTTACGGGACACATTTAGGAAATTAATAATATTTGCTGAAAGTTGCTGCAGATATACTTGCAATTTGAAAAGTACAACAACACTCAGAAAAACTTATTCCAGCACAGATCACCTTCCTTTTTGCAAGGAAAAAACTTAAAAGCAACAGGATGAAGATGAAAGAAATAAACAGCACTGAGTATTCATGGGCCACATGAGACAAACTTTAACAATAATGCTGTGATTTCCACATGTTTGACTGAGGGAAACTGTCTTTCAGCAAGAAGATAAGACTCTGAGACACTTTTCAAATTTACAGACTAGATGGCTCATTCTGTGCCTCTTGTCCTTCAAACAAGCTTGGCCATCAACTAGTTTTTCACTTTTGAAACAATTTTCTTGGCAGTAGTTTCACACTTGAAATCAGCATCAAGCACAGAGGAAGTATTCTCTGTTGATATACTGAGTTACGAGTTAATCAGCTTAGTACCCATTCATCTTTTCTAATACGCTGAATTTAAGTTTCTCAACAGCCGCTGTCAAAATGTATTTAACTGTGTGATGTATTTATTAACTCTGCCTGCACTGCATAGTTAAAGACACAAAATCATGCTTTTTCTCCTTCCTCAACAGAAACACTGAGAGCCTAACACTGAAATGAGGTTTCTGAAGTTGGAGGAAAGAGGGGGATTTCATCCAGTTCTGGTTCAATCCAATCTAGTCAGAGATTTTGTGCCATTTTATCCAATCTACACAACCCACAAAGCCTAATATTCCACCAGGGTATCAAATATTATCTACTACAGACAAGAGAAAAAATAAGTCAACTCATTTCAAAAGCAGTTTTGCATAAGTACTTATCAAAAGTGACCCAGTAGAAGTGTTGCAAAATCTACCACTGATATTTCAACCACTGTTCCAACAATTCAGTTGGAGAAGGAATAACCAAGAGTCCATTTAAACAACTAAGACTCGTCTGTCTGGCATTGCGAAAGAGCAATAGCACATTTCTGTCAGTCTGAACAAAGATCTTTATCTCAAAGAAAAAGAGAGATCTCTTCAGATGTCATGCTGACTGTCTTGGCTCAACATTACACCTCACAGTCCTTCCTATCTATTATCAACATCTATCTTTACAGTAACAGAAAACCCAAACAAAACCAAATTTGAGTCTTTTAGTTCAAATTCTTGTTAAAAAAACAGAATTTCATGCTCTTCCCTATTTGTTAAAAAAATAATTTCATTTAAGGTCATTTAAGTTGAACACATATTAATGGTCTATAGACCACAAGGAATCTTAGCCTTTTCCTTTTAGCAACATGAAGAGACATGGCTCTGTGAAGTCAACATTTGCAACCATGAATTTAAACCACATACCACTCTTCGGGCCATCTCACAATTACAGAGCCTAAGTAAAATTTTAGAATAGTTTAAAAAGCAGTTATAAACCATGTGTTTCGAATTAGCTGATGAGTGCGTCAGCAGCATCAGTTACCATACCTTATAATAAGCTCTCCTTTGATTTTTAGGTTTTCATGGAGGAAGATGACATTCTCTTACCACAACAAACACAGAAATATTTACTGGAGTTCTCTTTTAGCTAAGACTTAAGTATAGAAGCAATTTGAAATCGAAATGCCGCCCACACCTAGCTCAGTAAGAAGGCTCTGCCTCTTTATAGAAAGTTCAGCCACAGGCTCCAGATGGCCAGATCCTTCGCAAAGTCCTAACCCAAAAATTTAACAAAGGGAAGCAGCATAGCCCTCCAAGGGAGATTTCCAAAAGGCTCTAGCAATTTCCAGCATCTCAACAGCATCTCTGTGCTCAAACAGTACGCTGGGGTCAGGAAGACACAACAGCAAGGTTCCCACCTGCTCACCCTGAAACAAACAGCAAGTGCTGCACTTGAACACTCCAGATTGCACTCACAATTACAAAAGCCATAAAAATCTCACTCTTATAGTCAGAAATTTACTTCTCAGGAGCAGCTTTTCTACCATCTTTTTCCTATAAGCCAAACTCACCAGGATCAGTATTTGCCAGATACTGGTACTTTGTGCTACCATTTTCATTCTTTCTTTCATTTTCCCTAGCATTCTCAATTAAAAGTAACTAGTAAACACTATTTTAAATTCTCTCCAATTGCTCTTCTCATGCATTAATAGAGTGAATTCACTTCTTCACCAGCTGTTGCTTTGATTCAGAGATCCTTGGTTCCCATTTCAGAACATCTATTGCTTAATCTTGGCTATTGGCTGACAACTTGTTTGCTACTTTCAAAGGAAATGAGGAAAACCTCTTTTCTTGACTGCTCCAATTCCTCATGAAGCAGAGTCCTGGTACCAGGGCTCAACTGCTCAGGTACCAGGGTTCATTTCTGCCCAAACATGTCTAAACACACTGGCAGGATGCTACAGGCCAGGATGCTTATCAAAAACTATAAACAATGCTAGACTAAAAAGAACAGCAGTAATACTTAAATTGTGCATGCACTATTAATATAAATTTTACATAAAATGCAATTTAATTATTTAAAGTTTACTTAAGATCATCATATAATTTCCTTCCTTCTCTTTCTGAATGCACAGAATTGCTCAGTAGCAGGGTAAAGGCAAAGAAATTATTTCTTTCTCTCATGACATGCAGTGGGAAAACACCAGAATT